TTTCCATTCCATATCACCATTTGTCCACCGATTTCAAAAAAATATAGGAGCAAAAAATCTTCAACATTTTTTGCTATAAGTTTGATAAACATAAACATGTTCACCGCTTCTTTTCTTCAATTCTCCGAACTTTTTTCAAAAGCTTTTAGATTTAAGATCTTAAAAAAATTGTAGTGAATTTAAGTCACAATTTGGTGAGAAATAAAGGAAATTTTTAATGCAGACAATATTTTACTTGCAAAAAAATAAATTAATTCGATTTTGCAAAAAATTTTTGAATCGATGATTCAATGAGAAATATCGGGTTTAAAAATGTTATTCTTCTCCATAAATAATTATAAATTACTGGTGATTGGCTTGTAAATTAGCGATTTTGGAGCCATTTGTTTTGTATTGGATATAATTTACAATATGTAATGTAAATTTATTGCTTAAAGATCAATAAATAAGCACCATTTTAAAACCCATCAACAATAAAAAAATAATTAAATGAGAAGTTATTATGAAAATTATGAGAAGTTATGGGTGAAATTATCGCTGTTTGTTAAAACTTTGTCGCTGTTCGAGTAATCTGCACTAAAGCAGTCGATTTAAATTAAAATATTATTACTCATAGTTGAAAAATGGATAAAAAAAGAAGAAAACATTAGAGATCTATCAAATAATTTTTGAAAAAAAGAATAAGAAAGAAAATGATCGTATATCCAATGAATATGCAAAAAAAATTGGAAGTCGAAACAAATTTATTTAAAATATTCTCATCTTTTACTATAAATAGTGCAATAGCCATATATTTATGCTAATAAAACTTTAATATATTAAACTTTAATAATACAATTAGAATAAAATGGTGTAAGATATATTATAGGAGCTCATGCTAAAAAGCTACTTCTAAAACTCGGGTAGTAATAGAGATGGAAACTAATCGTCAAAGTATTCAGTTGTGCTCGTAATAGTGGGGTTGTTCCGTAGACTGGGTCCCACAACACGTTTTTGCAATAAAAATAAATAAAAAATAACATTAGCGAGAATCAATGTTATTTGTGTCAAATGGTTGACGGATAATTTAATTCATATTTAATTTATTTCAAAACTTGGATATTGTTGTGCAGAAAAGCCTGCCTCAGTAGGAGGTTTATTTTAATAGTTAATGCTACGAATGAAAAATTGTAATTTCACTTTTGTCTTAAGTTCATTAATATTTATTCCAGGTTTTCAAAATCTCGAAAAAAATTTGAAATTATTCCCAGCATTTGTAAATGCTGTAAAAAGAAAGCAATTGAAAGTAATAAATTCAAAAATTAAAATGAAATGAAAATCAGCAAATGGTGGATTAATCATATAAATAAGCATTGCTCTCTGCTGATATTTGATTATTCTTATTTTTTATGATAGTTTCCGAAGCAACATTAAAACATGAATAAATGAACCACATAATCAACCAATTAGTTATAGTGTATAGAAAGAAATTAGAATAAAATGTAAAGCAAAAGCAATGAGCTGCAAAGAATTGAAGAATGGCATTTTGATAAGAACGGCGCAAGTCAAAAAATTAATTACGCGGTAGTAAATAGTTGATAAGAATCTTTATGGATTTCATGCTGAACTAATGGTGATATCTGGGGAAACAAATACGAAAGGCGGCGAATATTCCTTATAAAGAACGATCCAATTTTTAATGGTTTTCTTTTGGAGATTTAATGAATTTAATAGCCTGAAAACAATGCAATAAAATAAAATAAAATACCTTAGTATTATTTCTGAGAAAACAATTTTTATTCATACATTCACCTAAAAGTTCAGATCCAACACAATTCTCTTACGCAATTATTGTTCCGATTGGCCACGAATGAAAAAATTGTAATATCACTCGGCTCCACTAAAATTTTGTCGCTAAGGAGTTGTTGGATGAAAATATAGTTGAGTACCATTGTAGTACCATTCATACCGAAGTTCCAATTCGCAATCAAAAAAAAATTAGAATCGAGATCGGTTGAACCGAGATACCACTTATTCATTCTGCCTTGGAGAATGTTGTAAAAAGAATTAACTATTCCACTATTTCAGATAGACTTTTCTTACGGAGAATTTTAAAAGCGTATATCATGTCCAAACAAACAATCGCAATCAGAATTATCCCCTAAACTGCCACAAAAAATAAATCTCCCTTCTTGCAAAATCAAGCCAGATTTCTTTTTTAAATGAAAAATCAATGAAAATATGCAAATGCATTTTTTCTTAAAAACTTATTAATATTCATTTTCCTCTTCTCTTAATCATTTCTTTTTTGACTGGTTTCATTGATTATGAAATCCTTTCAGTGCTTTGAGAACGCGGAGTTTAGAAGCTTCACTGGGAAAAGCGGGTGGGCCCTGAAATTCGCACCAAAGATTGAAGGGTAAAACAGCTCATAGGCTTTTAGAGCACCAACGCTGGGGTTTTATTCTCTGCTAGAATGAAACCTTTGAGTGGACGTTTCAAAAATCCGATGTCTCAGATTTTTTTAGAAAATTTATTCTATTTCCTATTATTTTCTTACGAATAAATAAACTTGAATAATGTTTATTAATAGTTCTATGCGAATTCAGCAAATGAAATTTTCCTTGCTTTTACACTATCTAATTTTTAAATCCTCTTCATCGAATTTATTTTAAATCTAAAAAATAATATTGGAAATTGGGCGCACGATGGTCGAGTGGTATACTGCTTCGGCCGACATCAAGCAATATCAGTTCGATGCTTATCACTGCTTTGATGGGACTAAATCTGCTATTAAAGTGGAAGTTCGAGGTGGGCACTAGTGATCGCCAATTGGTCTCGCTTTGCTTTCCATCTTCTATCCTCAAGTAACTCTGTGGTGCAGAAATTTCATCAATTTTATTCTTTAGGTTCAAAATTTGATAAGATCAATGAATTCTTTTGAAATGCAAAATTATAAATTTTTGTCAAAAAAATTGCGAAAAAATCGAATTCAATTCAAAAAAAAGATTTTTAATTTTATGATTTTAATGATTTGCATAAATAAATTAATTAATAATTTTTGCAGGCAAATTTTTCCATTTTTCTTTGCAAAGAATGAAATTTGGATGAAAATGATTGAAGAGATTGACGGGCCGCGGGCGTCGTTTTCTTCGAGGAGAAATCAGCTGACGCGGCCCCATTGCTTCTGTCAATTGTCGAATTGCTTTACTAAAAATTTTCCTGCGAGTGTCGGACCGTTTTGCAGGTCGACCTGGATGAGATTTTGAACCACGTAGTTGCTTTAATCGATTTTTGGAAAACAAAACATTTTTTATTTTTTTCCTGGCTTGGAAAAGTCTTTCTTCATTTACTTAATCTTATAATGCTACCATCTTTATAGACTGGAACTTTATCCTAGTGGTTTGGTTGGGTTTTATTTTTTTATGGCGCATTCTTATAACCTTGTCCTTGCTTCTTAAACTATTCGATGTTTCGATCCCATTTCTGCATAATTGTTTTTCAAATATTTGTCGACTCATATCCCTGTTTTCTATTTTTGCCATTTTTTCGCCGTTCGACTTTTGGTTTTTTTCATGATCATTGCAAATATTGGAAACTTTTTCATGGTCTGCTTTGGCTGCTCTTTTGCTAACAGAGAAATTCCTTGTGCAAATCTCAAATTAAATATAAATCATTTTGTGTTCAGATATATATATATATATATGTATATCCCGTTAAGTTTAGCTTTTCTCTGTGCCGTTTTTTGCTGGTTCAGATATTCGTTCCATACTTAGTAGTTGTGTTTAATCTTTCTCTTAAAATTCTATGTTCTTTTTTTATATCTTCATAAATTAGATAATGTTAAATGTTAAATGAATGCAATTTTTTTATAGAATCGTCGCTCTCTGGCTTAAGGTGGATTGATTTTTTGGCAGTGTGAAAAGTCGTATGGGTGGTCGCCAATCTGTCCAAACAGATATACAAGTAAGTCTATGATTTTTCAACTTCTGTTTGCTTTCACTTTGTTAATAAATTGGCTTTATTTAGTCAAATTTAAAGTTTTTTGTGATATTCGTTGCTTAATCTTTCTACCTTTCGGATCAATTCCTACAGTTGCAGAAATTCTCTTTATTCCCGAGGTAGGGCGATAGCGATGTGCTTTTATAAAGAACAATAACGTACAATAACGTAACATGATGTTAATACGAAGAAAATTGTTATACTAGGAATAAAATGAGAAAAAGGAGAAAATTGTTGTTCTCCTCATGATAGACCGAAGATATGCATTTGTAAATAATACCATAAATAATTCTGCTTTCGAATCTTCTAAATCTTGTAGTGTAGAAATTACATTAATTAATCTCAACTAAAAAATTGTGAGATATCGCTGGTGTAGTAAATAGGTGCTTCAGCGGCATTTCGGAATTTAGCAGTATTATAATTATTATAAATAATTTAACAAGTTTTCGTTTAATTTTTAAGCGTCGTGTACGATCGAATTCTGCGATCGAATCGACGACAATAAGCGACTCACATAATCGGAATGAATCAAGGGCTGTTCGCGGAATCAGTGGATCAATTGCTGCCAGGGTTTTTCTTTTTCGCATATTAGTTTTTTTCTTTGTGGTTTGAAATCAAAGAGAAACGGAAAAAATATTAGTATATCTAACGTTATTAACTATAAAATTTATTGCCATAGAGAAAGACCAGTTGAATTTTTCGATTTTTCATATGTTCAATTTTTAAAGGTCTTTATAAAAAAATTATTTAACAGCGGAATCTTAGAATCAATTTTATTGTAAGAAATAAGAAGTTTATCATTTATAGGGTAACATATTAGGTGGAAGAATATCTGACTCGGATGAAGAACCTCCAGGTACAAGCACAGCCGTAAATTCAACAAATATAAGTGCACGGCCACATGCAATGCGGTATTGTTTTAAATAATTTCCGAATTTTTTCTTTTGATATTTTTTTTCGTTTTCTGCATAATTTTTTGACCTATTATAAAATTGTGGAAAAGCTTATATCATCTTTTTTTTAGATTTTCAATTCCGCAATTGCGAGCGCATCGTGGATTGGCTTTTTCGCACGACTTCAATTCTCGTCGCTCTATGCCGTTGTTACAATTCTTGGGTCGTAAGTTTTGAAAAGCATCTTTATGTTTTTGTGGGATACTATTTTTTATTGAAGAGTTATCTTGATTATTGCTACTGAACACCATCGCTAAGTTCCTTTATAAAGAGCTCATCATTCCTGGTTAGGCTCCTGTTTCACTGTCTTTTGAATCATGCGAATTGTGCCAGGGATCTGGGTCTTTGAAAAGCAGGTTTTTCTCTGCAGGAATTCCAACATCGGTGCTATAAAATGAAAAGAGCAACAATCCAATGGTTTATTCGCTTCCCTATTTTCCAGTGATTTTGCAATTTATCAGTGCAACCATAGCAAAACTCCATAATGAGGTTTAACGTCTTCTAAGGAGTAAGGAGCTGTTTGGTTCTGAAAGATTGGAATAGGAGTTCCGGAAATCAAAGAATATATGATATATGATAAGTATAGTTTTGGCGAGATTAGACGGGGTGTGGGAGAAAGAGCTTTTGAGTGTGATAGATGAAGAGTATAATGGAGGTTTTAAGAAGGTTTTTTAATGGAATATAACAGGTTTCAGAAGATTTCAGATTATAAAGATACATTGGTTTTATTTAAAAAAAAGGGAATTTGAGATTGCGATTATATATAAATATATATACATATATATTTATGCACACGCACACATACATACACGCATATAATATATATACACAGTCACAAACGTGGCAAATTTAAGGCGACATCAAATGATATCTTTTTTAGTTCTAAAGTCTCTTTCTATAGCCAGACTTGACAAAAAATTTTAGTATTATTCGCACAGAAAAAAATTAAGGCATTTTCACTATTGCTTATTCGATTCGATTTTTTTGGTTTATTTAATGATAAGATTTAATAAGATTTTTTGTATATTTTGTAGGATAATTTTAACAATCAATGAACGATCCAGTAATTTTATTAGTTGAAATGCAGTTTGGCTATTTTCAGGTTTTTCTCATGATATAAAATGCCCAGTATGTCAAAAAACAGTTCCATCAGATGACGCAGAAGTTCACTTGGTTATGTGCCTCACTCGTCCTAAAATCACATATAATGGTGCTTTTTAATTTTCAGCTAATAAAATTAATAATTTAATTTTATTTGCTGTCATCTATGTTTCTTCTTAAGAATTCGATTTTGCGGCCTTCTATAAATTTAGATTTTTTTATAAAACGACTATTTGTTTTTTTCATTTCTTTTATTCCTTTTTTCTTATTTATTTCTTATATTTATATATGCTTTTTGAAATTTTAGTAAAATTACGGATTTTTTCGAGGGAATTTTGAAAAATATTTTTTCAGAATATTGTAATGTAGTTTAAGGCGAAACGTTTTTTCGTTTTATTTGATTATTGAATCTAAATTCACTTTATTTAATTGAAATTTTCGGATTTAAAATGCTAAAATATAAAGTAATTTTTGGTTTTTTTTGGTAGGGTTATTTCATAAATTTGAATATGTGCATTGGAATAAAAAAATTCACCCCTTTTATTCTTTAATAATTTTTAAGGATTCCTCCGATTTTTTAAATATATTTGTTGCAGTTGATATTTATGTGAGCATATTTATTTATATAATGAAATTAATGAAATTTTCTAAAAATTTTATTTTTTTAAATGGTATTTTAAAGCTAAAAGAATATTTTATATAGGATAAATCAATATTCATTTAGCTTCCTAAGTTATTGGTTTTTATGCTTTATTTTTTTGTGTATATTGGAGATTCAATTATTTAAAAATTTATTCAAAAAAATTTTTTAACTTAGTTAATATGATTTATAAGAATTGTAGAGATATTTTTTATTTTAATGTTTTAATTTATTTTCATTCACATTGGCATTATTGGTGTTTTAATAATTTTCAATAATTTCAATAGTAGTGATAATAATAGTAAAAACAGCAGTAAAATAAATAATAGAAATAATATAACAATAATAATATGGTGGTGCTGGCGACATATTTATCGCTAAGTGGCTCTCGGCATAGTTTTTCTGGTCGGATAAGCTAGCGGAGCCTAACCAGAAATGATAGACTGATTGTAAGAAGAACCAATAATAATAAAGATAATAAGTATTCTTAATAAGAAATACTTGATTTTAAGATTGCTTTTTGATCACATAATTTGCATAATTTTAATCTTTTAGGCATTTAAGCTTGTTTGTTTAAATTTCTAATCTTTTACAACTTTTATTAGGACTTGTTTAAGGATATGTTTTGCAGACTGCTGAAAATTAAAATGTAAGTTGAATAATATTTGCAGAGGATACACTGATGGAAGATAAAGGCGAATGTGCAATTTGCTTTGACGAAATGCTTAGTGGTAGTTGCATTGCTCGTTTGCCATGTCTTTGTATTTACCACAAAAAGTAAGCTGTTCAAGTTTCAAATTACACAAATTAAGAATTTTGCAGACCGCTGATGTGGGATTATTAAATTAGGTTATCTGAAATTAAATTTTTTATCTTTTATAGTTGTATTGATGAATGGTTCACGCGAAAAAACTGCTGCCCGGAACATCCAGGTTATGATTAAATGTCTTCTTTTACCACCACTTTATTTTTTTGGGTATGTATAGTTTTTATTAAGGAAATAAAAAAGCATATTGAGGCACATTTTATATGTTAAAATGCATTGTTTTTACGTAGCTTATTAATATTTTGTCATCAAAGATCAGCCGTCATTTTTCCTCTCCTTCTAGTTTTTATTTATTTAAGAAAGTTTTATACAATTTTTTGCTTCAAAAGAGGGGAAAATATTCAAAAGAAATAAAGTTTATAATTGATTTCTAGAGTAGTTTTTGACCTTATCAAACTTAATTGAGAATTTTGACTGGCTTGTATGGCACCTTAAATTTATGGTCAATTTTAAGATATTGTCAACGGAAAATAGCCATAGAATGTGACCAAAAACACAAATTTTGCCTGCCACATTGATTTCATTTTTTAATTTTTGGTTTTAACATATCGCCTCGCCATTATTATAGGTTATTATTAAGTTGTCATTTGGGATTTTTCTTTCTTTTTCGAGAAATTGCCTATCATACATTTTTGTTTTCTAAACCTTATTTTTAAAAAAGTTTAAATTGTTAGGCCAAAAATTTCAATATATTTTTTTGACTACTTAATTTCTTTCATTTTCGTTTTTCTGCTTTAATTTTGCTAAGAGGGCTGCGATTCGTAGTATATGAAATTCTATAGCAAAAAATACCTCGTTTTATTCCTATTTCTTTCGCTTTTTTCCGGTTTATTTTGCATATGGCTAGGTGTGAATTTGTTTTACACTTTTTTGTAATGTAACTTTTTCTTATATATTTCAACCGTTTTTTTCCTTTATAAAGCAGTGATCTAGAAAAAATTATTTCTGAATCGATGAAAAAATAATCAAAATAATCAAGTACAATAATCAAGTACAAATAGTAACTACCATTTTTATTTGGGCTATCTTTTTGAAAGGTTATCGATGAATAGTTTTTATGGCACCTTTTAAATTGAATTAAATTAGTGAAAAAGTTTTATTACAGCAATTTTTCATTATGAGTTTATGACTTATTTTTTCTCTCATATGTAACATTCTATTTTTGGTAATAATGCTCAATTTCTCCAATAAATTTACGGCATATCATTTTTCTTTTTTTTTAAATTGCAAGAAAATTCTTCATAAATATCATTTCTTTAATTCTTTAATAGATTTTAATTTATTTAATTATTGGTTTAATTAATTATTTAATTTCATCGATACTACGAAAACTCTGTTCAATATGAAATGAATCAAATAAGTTCGATATTAAATATATAAGTAAAGTATTTAGTACATTTAAATAAAGTAATATATCTTCCCACAGCTAACGGTGACATCGATGGTATTCAGTCATTCGTAACGGAATTCTAAAGTAGACAGGACATCCAGCCTGTAAATTCCAAATTACTGATAGGTTAACTTTCAGTATTTATGGATAAAAAAAATGGTATAGAAATTATACAGATACAAATAAATAATTTCATTTTTATTTCCTGAAACTGAAAATTTTACAATTTTTGATAAAAACAGTCGATGCAAATGTTGTTGATTACCAATCAGCCAAATGCTGATCATTTCTGCAAATTGAGCCCATTAATCAACATAAATTATTATGTAGCCCACACTAAAATCGCATTCTTTCACACTGACAAAAAATGCGAGGAACATATGGGCAGAAAAAGGAAAAAAATCGCATTGCATTATATATTAATCGAAGGGACCTACCTGTACTTCCATTCGCAATAGCTCTGTGAACATACTAGTAGTGAAGCCAGTCAAATAAGAAAACGTTTTTGCCGTTAGGAGAAAAACTTCGCTTTAAGGAAAAAAGATACTAATTACTTTTTAAAAGAAAGCGTTTTACATTTATTTAAATTTTTCGTTGAAGTATGCCAATAAATGATCGCAATTAATGATATTAGAATTGTCCGGTCAATTTTAAAAAATTTTTACTTTTTGTTTCATAAATAGGGATTAAATGGAATAAAAATTGGAAATTTTTAGGTTTTTTAATTTAAAATAGAAGAAATAAATTAATTCATTCATTTTATCTTTTTATTACTGGAATGAAAAAAAACTGGAAATACTTTCGAAAATATACATTTCGTGGATTTCCATAAAATTTAAATTTATATTTCAAATGATCGAAGCGATATATGCTTACCTCGTTTATTCTTTTTTTTACCGTTTAAAAAGAAAACATCGTGAATGTTATCGAAAATCATAACTGAAAGTTAATAGCATAATTTCACCATATGAATTAAAAAATTGAGTTTGATAATTTAAGACTGTGGTTGCTTGGATTGTTCCGAACTTGCGAATAATATTTGTTGTGTTCGATGAGTATAACTGTTTTGCCATTTTGACCCGAAGTGATCCCAAATCGCAAGATTTTCACCTTGCTTCTATAAAATTAACGACTATTCTAACAATTATTTTTCTATTTTTCCCAAATTTCTCACAATCATAAAGCAGATACGGATACGGATCTCGAAAGCCATTGAGGACGATCATCAAGTTTGGTAAAGGAATCCCAGAAAGAGTTTTGTAGATTTTGTGCAGGAGTTTGGAACTCCATCTCGTAACGTATGAAATCACCTGCGTGCAGTGGACAAGGAAAAATTTGACAAATGTATGTCGAGCATCAATCAGACTTAGCAATGAAGATAGTTGATTCAACATAAAAATGACCCATTTCTGCAATCGATTTTTATAATGGAAAAAAAATTCTATATAAGGATCGGCGGAATGGCTGGACAAGCCATTCCTAAACCGCTTCATGTCAATGATCCGATTTTCGCTTGAAAAAGACCATGATCACTGTTTGATAGGCTGAAAGGATGATCCACTTTTTAAAACTTGGTGCAGCGATTAACACCAGAATCATACAATAAAGAATTGGAAATAATACATCTAAAATTATGAACATAGTAACCATCGATGGTTAACAGAAAAGACCATACCATTCTGCATGAAATGCCAGATCGATTTTTTTACTTTAGAATCTCTCGACAACTTACTCAGAAAAAAATACTTTCAAAAATATGAAGAGATGACAATATTAAGGCAGTGGAAATTCGGCAGATTTTGCTATAATGTGTAGAATAGGTATAAAATCAAATGTGAAAAGGTATAAAAAATTTCTGAGGGAACTGCCAATATATAGCTGGATTTGGAGATAGGTATTTCAGCTTTGTACGAAAAAAGGGAGTAATTAGTATCTATAAGAAATCAGTGTCCATTAGTGATATATCATACTCTTAATCGATGCAAAGGTTAATCTTTAAACTCTCCGAACATCTTAAAGAAAGATCCAAAAATACCTGAAGATAAAAGTGATAAATTTGAGTTATCCATTGAAACCGATGCATAAAAGTTGAAGACTGCAGCAGCTTTTATACAAGTTTTTTCCAAAAAAAAATTTTTGAATTTGGTAAAGTTGTTGCACAACACATGAATCGAATTTTTTGCCTGCACATTCGCAAGAATCTTAAGAAATTATTGAGTGATTGTCATTACTCCGATAAATCTCTGCAAACACTTCAAGCACTTTATTTTTTGCAGGATTTCGCCCAAATTTTTTAGCATTCATATTATTTATAAATTAAGACGGACAAATTGTCACAATTGTCATCAAATCTTACCATACCTCCAGATTTTCTTAAAATTTATTTTATAACTTCTTTGAACTCTGATGCATTGCATTAATTTAGTAACAAATTCGTAGGCAGTATTAAAGTTTTTAGAGAATCTTTTGCTACGACGAAAAAATTTAATAATACCTGGTTATATGTATATTTATTAGAGTTTCACAGTAAAGGGGAATTGAAGATAATACTGCCGAGTTTTCGCAAAAGAATGCTGTAGATGCGATGGCATCAAAAATTAAGGAGGCATGTAGCGTAGCAAAAGATTCTTGAGAAACTGTTAAGGGAATTAAGATAACACATGGAAATTTCTGGTAGTGGCAATTTTTTTTTTTAAGAGACCTCCCCATTATTATTATTAAACTCGCTCCACTCGCTTGTCATATTGAGCGATGTGCCAGGGAGTCACTTGGTGATAGAAATACAGAGTACTGAGTTGCCAGCATCACCCTGGCAGTGGCAATAATGGCGTATGGTAAAACAGTGAGGTTTGATGTAGCATTAATAACGAGGTTTTCCAGATGTTAACAGAATATAACAAAGCTGAATATATTAAAGAACGCAATATTAGTGGACTGTAACAAAAAGAATTTTCGTGCTATAACGAGCTTAATACAAGTATAAAAATCTGATAGAATTAATATGATATGATACAAGGGAATTTAAGGAAAGGAAAAGCTTCAATTCATTTTAAGAACGGTTTGACAAAATGCAAAGAGGACTAAAATATTCAATTTTGAATGAATGCTGGATATTCAAGAGATTTATAAATTGTGGTTATCAAAAAAAGATTACAAGCTCTGATGCAACATCAAGGAGGCATAATGGCCAAAAAAGTTTAGTAGAGTTCCTTTGAGTAAAAGAACCTAAAAAAAATTATAACCAATTACAGCAAAGCCTTTCCTAGGAAGAATGACCGATTAAAACGAAGCTCTTCGATGAGAATACAAGAAAAATTTTGACAATGTATTTTCGAAGACCTTCGAAAATACAGAATTATATACGTGATGTATTACGCAATAAGAGAGCGCTAGTGGGCCATATTTTTCGTCGTCCATTACAGGAATTGACTTATATATCGCTATATTGATGGATAAAATCAAAAGCGAAGGACAAATTAAGACCTGGATTGACACCAGAAGAATGTACAAGAGGCCCAGCGAGCACGGGCCCATGAGCCAAGATGGCTTGGAAATATGCTGACCTAGACGCCAGTACAGCCAGGCCAGAAATGACATACTTCAATATGACGTTCCATCTAGCAAGATCTTCCACCACATTTCTTCTTTTTTCCCCATCATTATTCATCAGCAATAAGTGAAAAACATTGCTGTCGGCACAAGCGAAAGGTAACAATTCGACTATATGGCTCTCCCCAGCAGTTGCTTCGAATCCGTTCTCCAAACCTTCAGGAATTTCAACTAAAAGATTAAACTATCGAAAAATGAAAAGACTAGACAAGACTCAAGAAAAGAAGAAAACTGTTTAGAAAATGCATTAGAAGTTCCAACAGTTAGCGGACACCACCAATCCTGACATTCTGGCCAATTCACACCGTCCAACCTAGTAAATGCGGAGCAGACTGGATTATTATTATTACATCCACAACCCTACCTAGCACGTCCCACCAATTCGCTCAAAATTCGCGAATTTCAGCGGTCCGTTCGCTTTTTTTACGGCCCTTCTACGGCTCTTTACGATTCTTTTCGTAAATATGGAAAATTTTTCGATTTAATTCGAAATGATTGGTGTGCGAAAAAAATTGGAAAAGCGGAAGTGCATCGAAATTTCTGGCGAATTGGATTTTTGATTTTTAAAAATACCACAAAATATTAAAAAATATTTAAATTACTAAAATTTATTTCCATTTTTTATTAATTGATAAAGTGATAATTGATATAAATGTGTGGTTTGCTTATCGAATTGCCTAATATTGCCTGATAATCATGCGCTTGTTTGGCTCAACCGATCATTATTATTATAGAAGCCGTATTTGCGGACATATGCAACTGGCACTAACTTTATCGGCTGAAATTAATGATCACATCAAGCATAGCCGCACGCGTGGTGAATTATTCAAGTGGCTCAGTGATTGACAAAAATTTCGACCGTACTTATAGCGAAACTAAACGGAACTATTGCCTAGCCAGAAATTGAGCGCTAACCGCTTTTTTTGTTCATTCATATGACTGAATAAGTGAGTGAAAATCCTATTTGTCTTATTTAAGATCGATAAAGAAGAGTTCATTGAGTTTTACTGGGCTTTCTATTTTATTCAGTTCATTGCCAATGCTTGATTCGAGTCAAGAGACAGAGCCATTGACAAGAGACGTTGAACTCGTGCAGCATACCACTCGACACTTTCTCCTATAACGTCAGAGCATGAAAAAATGAGTCTTAAAGTGGTTTACGATTTATGAAAAACTGAGGAACGGAGAATTAAGGCATAGTGGTAGAATCCCTATTAAATTTTTATTTTTTTCGATCTATTCATTATTTTCAGCTTTTTTTGTCCTCCAAAATCCGGAAAATATTGCCAAAGATAATAAAAACTCTCTAACATCTTAGGTAAATTCATATGAATTATTGCATCAAAGCTATTTTGCCTGGAAAATTCTACCAAATATTTCGATTTTGTTTTTTTTGGCGAAAATTCGTTTCAATTTCCTTGTATTTTACATTATTAAACTTCATATAGTTCCTTATTTTGTATAAATTTTCATGCGAGATTCGCCAAGAAATTTTAATATTTCTTCAATATTGTCGTACTTTAAAGGTGAATTTATGCATGAAAACATTGTGTAAATTTGAGACAGTTGTGGGCAAAAGCCACCCGCGGCTTCCAACAAAATTTTCTCCATGATAAGGAAATATTTAACCCTTTAATAATTGTTAAGGCTCCTCGAAAATGAAGATTATTAAAGATCATCTCATTGCGATACATTAACAGACGTGACTGTAAACAATTTTGGCAACATTATTGGCAACATTCAAAATTTTTCCTGACTACTGTTCCAGATCTCTCTCCTCTATCTACTCTAAAAAACTTTTGAAATAACGTAGAAATGGCCAGTTTTCTGATTCACTCCAAAATCGTTTCAATTCCTAAATGCTAATAAAAGGTAGAAGAAAAAAAATTTTTTTGCTTCGTTGAATAAATCTGAAAGAATTTAGCAAAATAAACGGTAAAGTTGACAAATTATGATTTTTCATGCTGTTTCATGTATGAAACATGTTTTCATTTTGCATGAATCCTACTAACAATTTATAATTTAATGAGCCATTTTTGATCTCAAAAAAACCATTGCGATTATGGTTCTTTAAAATGCAAATTTTGTTTAAATTTGTTTTTTATTTTGAGAACAAAAAAATATTAGTTCGAAGAAAAAATCATAATGAAATCACAGAAAAATGATGAGTACTTTACAATTTTCAATAAACCGATTGGATAAAAGTTTCCATAAAAATTACGTAAAGAGAGGTTAAAAAAACTGGATCGGTTTGCGATGCTTTAAAAATTATCACTGCAAATCACTGCTGACTTATTAATTAAGAATAAAACAAATGTGGAATTCTGATGTTATTTCTGATATAGCTCAATTTGTTGGGATCGGATTGAACAATTTTTATAAAAATCCTTAAGAAATGTGCTAAAATGTTTTTGGGAATATCAGTTGAAAATTATATGAGACCATTATTCGTGACCAAGTGAAAAAGGAATGAACTCTCGTTAACTTATTTCATGGTAATTATACAAATAATAAATAAACAATGGCTTTTCTCGAAAATTAAATTACTAATAAGAATAATAGAAATACCGTCAGAAAATCTTAGCTGGACAGCTATTAAATGCCAAATGAGACACTAATATTTATCCTGAATAATCATCACGATTGGCAAGAAGAGCACTAATCGCATATAAAATTCCATTTGTGAAGCAGAAAAACTAAAATACTTTTTAATAACTTTAGAATAAAATATTTTTTATTGTAAGAAAATTTTATTTTAGAATACATATGATTGTCTAAAATAAGTGAATTTAGTTGAATTAGCTGAAGTGAATTTAATTTAGTCTAAAATGAAATAAGTGTGTTAGTTAAGCTCGCTTCACTAGCATAGTGAAAAATTTTTGTCAAGAAACAAAACATTTATTGTCATTTGATGATAGAGGCATTTTAATAATATAAGTATTTTGCCAACACCAGTTAGGTTTAATGTCGCTTTTACTTCTATCAGAGACAGATGTCCTAAAGCTTCAAGACGATAATCTGAGCAATCCTCAAAGTTATTACTGCATAAAATGGCAGTCCTTTAAGCGGAATTTTTGACAATCTTAGCTTAAAATAAAATAAACAATTTTTTAATGAAATAAGTTAGTTGAATTTAGTTGAAGTAAATTTAAGTAAAAGTGAATTTTTATTAATAATATTAATAACCGCAGCAAATGCCCATTCGTAAATCATTCGACAGTGATTATGAATTATTCCATCACTACCAATACTATTACAATTATTTGACCAAGCTCCAGTTGCATAATAAGCCTCGATGAATCCCATCAATATATAAATTCCACATGATATTGATGAAAACAACAAATCCTATAAATTAGAAAAAAAAACAAATAAATTAAAGCATGTTGTTCGCCTATAATCAGCATGGTTATCAATTTTTTTCTGGTTTTTTATGTTTAAAGGATATCATCATCATAGTCATCTAATAGTATATTCCTGGTTTGATTGGCTTCACTGATTATTAGGATGAGACTCCTTTGCCAGAGAATAAATGGTGGATAGAGTTGCTGATGGATGAGTAGCACCACTTGGATTTTACTAGCAAATTTATTCTTATCAAAGAACATTAATCGGACTCATGATGGTTTGTGCTTAGTCGAAGCAACATACCGACCGATCACCTCTTTAAAAGATAGAATTTAAGTGATAAAAATAGTTTAAATACGGCTTTAACTTTCTTTAAAATTAGACCTACCCCTCAACTGTGAATTAGAATTGAATTCCAAAGCCCATGAAAAAAGAAGGTATTTTATCAGTTCCAAAATTTTTGAAAAAAGCCAAAATTCCTAGTAGCTGACTCAGATAAACTAAATAGTAAGAAATGAAAAAAATAACTTTTTTTATTTCTTTTATCATCAAAAGCAAGGCCTCAAGATATAATTTCAAAAAGGCCTAAATTCGATTAGAACTAATAAAACTAATTGTAAATTCACTAAAAAGATTTTAAATTTGTACTACTTGTTGTTCAAAATTGTCTAATAATTAATTTCTAGTGTAAATAAAAATTTCTATCATAATAAACCTTACCGATACTCGCCATGGCCAAAAATCCAAATGGCTTTCATGCAAATTGAAGAAGAATACAACAAGGAAGATGAATGAAAAACAGAATGCAATTCCAGCAAATATTAACAAAAATGTCTGTCCAAAAAGAATTCCTCGAAATGGACCAGGACCATAAACCGAAACAATTAATGACACGATAAGTAAACCCATTGTCTGGAAAAAATTTTATTTGTATTTGAATTCTTGACTGAAAATAATGAAAATTTCAAATTCAAATAATAATGCATTTGATCAATGGATCTTCTTATAACAGCACCATTTCTGGTTTGGGGCCACTAGAATGAGATCTTTTCCTCAAAAATTCAGACAGTCTGATTTGAAGAAAGGAATTGCTCCCTGCTACCATTCGGTCTCATTACTCAAAAGGAATGAACCTAATTATAATGGTTTCTTCTAATTCGAAACGATATTCGACCATCCCCTTGCCAGTGAAAGACATAGAAAAATTCAAATTTTTGAAGATTATATATATACATATATATATATATATACCAAAGAATAAGAAACAAATTTTAAAAAGCCAGCTCACTGGGAAAACAATATCCAAACCAAAAATTTATACGCTCTGTCCGTCACCAGATACGCAACTAGCACAGTAAGGTGATCAAAGGAAGATGTGGAAATTGTCTTGCTAACGCTGAGAAATTTTAAAAAAAAATTAAAAATTAAAAAGAAATTAAAAATTAAATTAAAAATTTTAAACTTTGGAAAAACCTTGATTAAAAGAAAGTACTGAGGGCATTCATAGTAGTATAAAAACAGACACTAAGTACCAGATCCATCGAAATAAAGATCTAAACCACAGCTCAAAGTATAAAAAAGCCTCATAAACTAATACATAGCAGCAGGTTATAAGATGTAAACAGGAACAGCACTGAAAATCATAACCAAGTTGCTGGCATTATCTACAGCAATATCCTCTCGATATATGGCTTAAATTCTCTTAAGATAAGATGGAAAATTTCACACAGAAAATCGTGGAGAATAGTAAGGCGATGATCCTGTGGGTTTCTCCACCCAGACAGATAAAAATATTCTACTAGATCAATCTACTAGATATTATGGTAAAGAACCAGAAATCAGCACCCGGCGGCAGATGAAGGAATGCCAAGTGGCATGAACATTAAGAAGAAGGAATATGAGAAGCTAAAGAAATACCAGGGAGTTGAAAGGAGAACCAAAGAAGATGTGAAAAGTGAAGGACAAAATGGACCCGTTGGTGGAAGAAAAATTAGAGACCCTTAAACTGCAAGAAGTGGATCCAACAGATTCAGGAACATCAGAGAAATCTCTGCACAGAAGAGCGTATTGCCAGAAATAGCTAAAGGTATTTCCTCGAAGTCCCCAATATCTGGTAGAAGACCCAAAGTTCCTGCTCACGAGGGGTAAGAAAGGGATTTAATAACATAATATGTTATAATATAACATATTAATAACATATTTAATAACATATTTTCAATTTCTTCATTTAGTTTTTTAGAAGGAATACGAGCGAATCCTAAGTCAAACAATGAATGCCCATACAATTTCAATAATTCGAAGGATTCCATTTAGTCGACAACAATAGTTTCGATCGACTGTTCCAAAGCCAAATCCGTATTCCATGTCATTAACGTATTTTGTTCGAGTTTTTGTCGTTGTTGTTATTAATGTACCATCTGGTTGCTCAGTTGTATAAGTTTCTTGTCTTATAACTGGCATATCTGTAATAGACTTCGCTTCATATTATTACTACCATCAAGTGTTTAAGAAAATTTGGATAAAACCTGGAATTTGACGGAAAAAAAGCCCAAAAAATGTTTCTTTGGCAACTGACCTCATAGGAAATGGAAAAAATGAGGATTTTAAGTCGCTAAAAAATCAAAAAACGGCAAAAAACTTGGCAAATTGTAAAGAGAAATGAATATGAATATTTGAAATGAGTTATGAAACAACTGCAACTAGCAAGGAACTCGTCGAAGCTCGATCCGATATCGGAATCGGTTAAATTCGATACTGATTTACGCGAAATCCACTCAGGGAATCGCTTCGGATACAAATCCAAGTTGCAGTAAAAATTTGAATAAAAATTTTATCTTTTCTTCTTCAACGTTGAAAGCGATGAAAAGTTTTAAAAAATTAGAAAAAAACTATTAAATTCGACGTAAATTCATAAAAGAATTAATCAATTAAATTTCAAATTTTTTACGGATGAATCTATAAGAAATTTTATGCAAAGCTCTCGAAAATGCGCAGAAAAAATTTTTTGAGACAAATAAAAAATCGCCGAAAATGATAAATAAAATTGACAAACAAAATATGGAAGCGCATCGCTTAATTTACTCTGCTTGGTTACTATACATCGTTTTCTTTGCGCTGCTTGGTTACAAATAAACGGCCTAAACCTTGCATTTTCTAAAAATGAACTATGCTGCTAGCCTAATTCCGCTAAATCAGCAATTGTTAGATAATTTGGAACTCAAACAAGAAATCTGATCAGCAATAACAAGCCAAAATTTTTCGATAATTTCTGAATAGAAATCGATTGTATTGATGTTTGATCAGAAATATAAGAATGAATAAAATGCTTTTCTTTGCAAATTTTTATTATTTCGATAACAAATTTTGAAAACTTTGATAATAAAACTTCCTTCGAATACAAGGAAATGTCATTCGATTGATTGGCCTCTCGGTCGGTCGAAGTTGGCACTGAAGGAAAATATTATACAAACATTGCAAATTTAAGGTCCTCGATGGGGAAATATGTTACTAAATTGTTCAGTGGTATGTCTGTCACGATGAGTTGACTAAACTAATTAAACAGATTGAATTCTAGCTTTCGACCACTTTATCTGGTGATATTGCCGAGAGAGCATAAGTTTATGCCTAATGAATAACTTCGTCATAAAAAAAAAAACGAATAAGTCGCATCAACTCGCTTAAAGTCCCATCGATGATATGGAAAGGAAAAGTAGATGTTGCCAGGATAAATATTTGATTTATTTAGCTGATTACGTGATACTCTTCATTCGAACTAATGAATTTTCTTCAAATGATTCATTAAATCGAACAAAACTGGAAATAAGTCTCGTTGTAATTTCTATGATTTCTACATAAAAAAAGATAACAGTCTTGAATTTATTTGAAATGTTTCAATCAACATCATTAACCTAAAAAAAAATCCGAAGCTCCACGCTCATTACCGTTTCTCCTGATAGCATTCACAGTTAAGATCTTTTTAGCAGAGAGTGGAGCGGATTAACAGGGTTATCCGTACTTTTAATGACAGACTTACTCCTTTCAAGCAATCGGACCCATTACGCTTGGCTTCAGTCGCCGCACCATACCACTCGATCATAATCATAAATAAGAGTAATAAATATTAAAATAGCGACGAGCAATGGAAAAGGAACAAAGAACCATTTTATACTTGATCAAAATAGTTTATGGTAAACTGAATGTCTCAGAAATGGAGAAACGGACCACGCCCGCATAACGTCGTTAAATTTTTTGCCATTTATGCTTCATTATTGTCATTATTTGTTTGTTTCTTTTTTAAATGTGTTGACATTTGGAAAAAGTATAGCCAAAATTATATATTGGGAAATCGACACAAAACCTATAAGAATGATAAAAATTGTTTAAATAGGCATAAATTTTTTAAAGCAAAATTATATTAACTCATAAACTGAAGTGCTAGAACGACTGACTATTAATGACCATTTGACGACCATAGGCATCTTCTTATTCTTTTAACAACGTTCATCAGCTTGTTTCTTCAACTGAGCAGAGGACGAGAACTATATGAGGATAAAAATGCAAGCAAGTTCCAGCATCGTCTGATTTTCATTTCTATTAACAGGTTTGCTCTGTGAAAGGCATGGAGCGGTTTATACTGTTGAACTATAAAGAAAGAATTAATACAAATAAGATCGGTGCATTTAGCCGAACATTTTGAAGGAGAATAAATTTTTTCATTTTTACCAAATTGCATGAAATCGAAGCGTAATAAATGACCATGTGAATTTTCAATAAATAAATATGGATTTGCTGCAAATTATCCTAGATAATAGCGAAAATTTTCCAAAAAAGAAACGAAATTTATAAAATTTACCCTGTGCGAGGATTTATTGATAAAAAGTTTCCATCACAGTGATCCCAGTTTTACTCGAATATATCTAACATAAAAAAATGAAAAATCAAATGAATTAAAAAATTCCATTTATAAAGGTTTTTTTGAAGTTTTATTCCAAGTTTAGCCTGCACATGCTTTTGGGATGAGATCGTTTCGTTAAAGCGGAAATAAACATAGATTGGTTCCCAGCACCACCCTGATTTCACTTTCGTTAACGAATTTAATTTACATTAGAGGACAGGAATCGATCTCATGGGGTTTAGGAGGAGCAACGTATCACTTAACCATCTTTCCTCTAATATGAATAGCGTTTATTTATTATTGCTTTTAAATTCAAAAAATAGCTTGAAGATACTTCTTGTAAATTACACTTTTCTCTGTTAACTCGTTCTTTTAGCGATTTATTTTGTTTTTTTATTTTTTTATATTCTTATATTTATATTTATTTTTATATTTTTACAATTATTTTGAAATTGATGTTCAAGTTAGAACTAAATATGGTATAAATTTAACTAATAATTTAAAATCAAACTTTGCTAAATTATTTCAATTAAATTAAATTAAGTAAAGCAAAAGAAGAGGCAAGTCTGATCATTTCTGGTTAAGCTAGTTCTTTCTTAGAAATTTTTGCTGGAAAATCACTCTTCAATAAAAGTGCAGGTGGGCCGCCAGAGCCACTCTGATTTTTTTAATGGTAGAATTATTTCTGTTTTATTCAGAGGAAAAAGGTGGTAAACGACAAAGAATTATTTAGGATAAAAATACAGCTCGTCCCTCCATATTTTTTATAATAAATTTATGCCGGTCAACTTAACTTATTAATGTAAAATCAACGAATTCCTATCGTTTCATTTTTTTTCTATTTCATGCAAAACACTTACACCTCCGACCGTAAATTTTTATGATTGGATTAGCAAATAAAAATATTTTTCGTTTTTCTCGTAGATTTTCGAAGTGAGATAAATTTTTCCTCATAAAGTTTTATGGGTTTTACGAACCAACAAATTTGCTTTTAAAATTATTCGTTTCATAAATTTTTTTTCGTTTTTCTTTTCTAAAATAAATAAAAATCTGTTTTTTTTCCTTTTTCGGTGCGTTTGTTATTCGCATATTTCTCATCCATTTCTTTGCTTTCAACCTTCAATTGAATTAAATTTAGTAATTTCGGTGTACCACAAATAGGAAAGACAAGATGGTGTTTTAAATTTTCGCGTGGCAAGCATCTGGCTGCAGCTTTTCACTCTGTCCGAGTGATATAAATATTCGTACTTTTATATTCCTATATTCCGAGTCGTATATATATTCGTATATTCGTACTTCTATCGCCAAGTGACTCCACGACAAAAATTTTTAAACGCATAAACAGGTAGCGAAGTTAGCTCAACCAGAAATGATGAGCGCTAACCGCTTACATTTTTGCATGCACGAATCATGAATTTGAAGGAGCAAAAATGACTTTGCAATAAAATGTTTGCATTGACTCAATAATAAATAGTGAATTTTGCCATTTAATTTTGTTTCTTGTTGGAATTAATAGTTTCAGTGGGAAGATTAATTAATTACTAGACCGACATTATTTAAAATCCAACAAATTGGGTATAAATAAATTTGCAAAAAATAGTCGAATTCTCTCTCTATACTATGGAAGGTTTTTTCGTTTTACCATTCTTGGTCGATCTAACAACTAACAAGGTCGATTGATTTCTCGAAAAGTATATGTCCAGCAATTAAGGTTTTTAACGGTGGCTAATTCCAAAGACACTGATAATTTGATTAAAAGTGCATATAATCATTCCGAAATCCTCCCAAATAAAAATGTTCACTAAATTAATAAACTGCTTCTTTTATTTATTTCTGGAATAGATTGATCATATAGAAGGAAATTAAATTTCGATTAATTAAAAACTAAAAAATTCTAAAATCATTTAATAAATTTGTAAAATTGATTTGATCTTTAAATAAAAATTGATAGAGCAATCCTCGGAAAAATGTTGGCTGAGTGTTTGTCGCCCAGATCATTGTTTCAAACGGCGGGGTTTGAAATCTAACAAGAATAACTGTTTCGATTGGTGATGGCGATCCACGCGCTTTGCTATGCCACTGCGGGTAATTTCCCAAATCACTAATAGCCAGTGAAACGAGCCCAACTAGAAATGGTGAATGCAGGCCACTAGCTTACTTTATTTACGACTAATTTCGATTACTCACTTTCTCATCGTTAATGCAATTTTTATAATTCTTTATTAAAATTATACTTTTTTAAATTTTTTTCAATCGATTAACATTTGGACATTCTTTGAATGAAAACTCTTATCGTATAGAAATCAGCAAACTCATTTCATCCTCCTACTGACTTACGAAACAAGCAAATATGTCGAGGTCAAAAGGTCAATTGAGACTATAAATCGATAAATTCCATTGCATAATTGAATCGACCATTTCCTTCCTATAAGATTAATTGCATATTTTACGATATGTACGATACGTAATACGTTATTTTGTTATTCCTGTCAATAAAGTTTTATTTATCATTCTCAATAGGTAATCTTCAACTTTTTGGGGTCAGATGAATTTGCCAGCAAAGTGAACAACACATGTGTGTTTGGTGGCTTAGTGGCAGGACGACTGTCGCCGAGAATCAAGAATGGCTCGGGTTTGGACTCGGCCGACGCATCAGGCTTCTCGGCCGCTAGTTCGGACGTCCATAAGAAATGAACCTGTACTTCAGATGTCCGGTGACTATATCGCAGAGCGACTGCTTTGCAAAATTAGCCTGTTATGTTTGATCCTTGACCTCGCGCAAATACTATTAAAGGATTTCTACACAGTAGAAATTTGATCATTGACCGCTTACACTTTGACCGGTTTTAAAATCGTAACAAAACAGCTGATGCAGCAAAGTTTGATGAATTTTAGTCAATTTAATAGAACTCATAAATAGAGAGTGGTTGAACTTTTTTCTGCTTATCCCGAGTAACCCCGCCTCCTCATATTTCTAGTCAACAAATCAGTTTATCCACCAAGGGGGCGGTACAAAAGAAGTGTGCGAAATTATTTTAATGAAGAGGAATGGTTAATTTAGTAGTGAATATTCCTCTGAATGGATCTTTAGTTAGTGGTAGTGGTACTCTTTTTTACCCCTCGCTTTTCATTAATTCTCCTTTTTTTATGAATCACATAAAATAATAAAATCCGAATGGCAAAAATAATTTTAAAAGCGCCGCGTCTGCGTCGCGCGTTTCAAATGTCATCGCATCGCGTTCATTTTAGATTAATACACCTGTCTCCCAACAAATGATTTCTTTTGTTGTCGTCCTTCCGGGTCGTCTGCGGGTTCCACGTTCCGGACTTTGGGTTCCAGTTCGTTTTTCCAGGTTACGGACAATTGTTCCTCTCCTGTCTTTTTTTGCATTCTTTTTGCATTGTTTTCATATTTCTATACTTTTTTCCTGCTAAGACGATATAGTTCATAGAAAGTACTCGTAGATTTGCTACACAGTGGGCGGTATTAGTCCTCATGTAGCGCTGCGTTTTTTTGTTCGATTTTTTTGCTATCAATGTTTTAGCAGATCATTTCTCTTACTTTTCTAGTAGTAATTGGTTCCACCCGAAAAAAGGATTTCGGCTGATCCATTCATTGTCCTCATTTGCTGTCCTTTCTTTTTTCTCCTCAAATTTTAAATGAGAAATTAGTTGAATATTTGCAGTAGTCGCACAGCTTGCTGGACGTTTGTGGCACTTATGCTTCTTTCTATCTACGCATCTCTTTAGGTAACAGAAGAAGCGATCAGTTCAATCGATAGTATTGATTTTTGATTATTTGATTGTGTGAATTGATTTTATCAGTTGTTTATATAGTAGAAAACGATTATTTAGACGAGAAATTTTGATGTTTTTCTGAAAACTGTTGGCTAACGCCACGTTATAAATGGTCTACTTGTACTAAAAGATCCACCATTTAAGTGATAAGGAACTGATACGTTTCCCTTAAGTGATCTATTACAGAAATCGTTTTCTAAAAAATTTTACTATTTTCCATGCTAAATTTGAAATGTTGGAATGTTCAAGTTTTTGACGTTAAGATTTGAGATTTTTGGCGAAATTTCAGAATAAATATTTATATTTACTCATAACCTGCTTTATTTTATGACTATTTTTGCACGAAAGCATAGTATTACTTGAATACGCTAATGTCCTTTTCGCTGACAGTTATAAGCAACGAATGCTAGTGGGTCGACATTAACGAAAATTAGCCTTCAAATCGATGGAAACAAGGCAGAACGGTAAAACTGATTTTTCATATTAGATGAAAAGGTGCAGTTTATAAAGTCACCAACAATTCGAGAAATTCAAATATTTCGGTTTCTTTAACCAGGTAAAAGGTGAAGTTCTAAGCTCAGATGGCTGCAGCTAGAAGCGAAGTTTCCTTGGAACTTAAATTAGTCTCAAATTAGCCACGAAATTAGTCTCAAAACGAAAATTTTTATCTATCAGGTCATGTACGCACTATTCCTACTATATAATTGCGAAATAATGGCAAATGAAAGAGAAAGATACTCGCCTTTGACTTCTGCTTAAGATGCGTCCTATATATCCGCTAAGGGTCTCACCTTCGCTTTAAGAATATAAAACCTCACTTGTTCTGGCTAGACCATGTTCGTCCATCGCAGAAGTTCACACATCTCTCTATTGGCTAAACCTTGTCAGTCAAGGTTAGAATCTGTCAGGGGAAATTTTGGCAAAAAAGGAATGACAAGGAACTTGAAAAGGTCCTCCATTGAAAAGTCGCCGGTAAGCCAAACTAGCATTGGTGCGAGCTGTTAAGAAGATTTAGAAGAAAAATAAGATTTTATTTAATATATCGTTAAAATAGCCGGAAATTCTGACACAGGTACCTGATCTGTCGGCTTAAAGGCATACACTTGGATTTTAATCAGTATCCATTTTAATCATTATCCATTTTAAATATTCAGTATTCCCTTTATTTCTCTTAATCTACCACCACTTTATCAACATAAGTTCATAAGTGCAAAAATTTTTGAATAAATTTTATTTCATGTGATCTCAAAATATAAAAATTTTAATTATTAGTTGACTAATGATAATTTTCCATTTGGAGACAAAGAATGGTAGAGTGGTTTGCTGCTGAGACTATTATCCTTAGAAGTTAGCGGTTAAGACATAACTTCCAGCAGAAGGAATGAACAGTCATTAAAAAATCCAAGTGGTGCTGGCCACCAGCCCGTTCGTCAAGGTAAACAACGCCCGCTGGAGATTGCCGATAATCTAAAGTTTTGGAAGAAAGTCAGGAAAATTCAATCAGATCCATCTTAATCCATATTGACCCGAACGATGGTTGAAATGCGCAAAAAGTCTACAATAAAATTCACCTTTCTAAGGCTCATATACTGTATATCTTCATATTTATTATATTCCTTATTTGTGGTGGTTTTTGCAAGATCAAACTCAGAAAGAATATTAAGAAATACGGACACTCGAACGGTGCGGAAAGCGCAAGTCCAAGTATAAAACGTAACCTCCGCTGGGAACGATTCTGGCTAAAATATCTTTAGGCGCAAACGCAGTCTGAAACGCAACCTGCCTATTTCATATTTGCATAATGATGCGCATTTTCTCGTGTCTTGTGAGTCGTAAATAATCGTTCGAGGAGTGCTCACCATTTCTGGTTAAACTTACCTTGTTGGCTTCAAGAATTAGACAAATTTTGCCAGGGAGTCAATTAGCGACAGAAGTTTAGACACGGGACACAATGGTGGTCAGCATTCTATGTTGCAAATATTAAAATGGTACTCATAAAGCCCTTTCAGGACGCACGAAAAAACAAACAATTGCAACGCAATATTTTTATAGTATTTTTATTTTTATGGTATTGCCAGGATTATTACTTGTTATTCTTTGAAAATTTGGTCATATTTTTATTACTATAATCCATCTATATTCTGGAAAATATCAATTTTATTGTTATGATGATAAAACGATAAAAAAGCCGACTTTTATCATTCTTTCTTATATTAATAAATGGGTTGTGCCACTGAAATATGTAAATTATTCGTTCAAATGCATCAAAAAATTTTTTCCATAATTGTCCCTGAAAAGTTTTAACAGCGGCAGAAAAATAAACGACGAATTTCTTCTCTTTATGCGAAATTTTTTTCCTGGAAAAAGAAGGAATCAATTGTAACGAAAAAAGGCAGATTTTCGTCACTGTTCCTTTTCTATATTATTATATCGAACAATTTTAAAAGGTAACAATTTTTCCTATTACTTTCGCGTTATCACTTATCGAATATAACTTTTTTTATTTGCCTTAATTGTTATTAATCGCAGCGACATCCCTCATGCTCGTTTTCCCTTTTCTAAATTTTTGTTCTCCTCTTTCCACTATCCACCATTCATGTATTTTCTCCAGTCGTGATGCCTCAGCAGGAATTCACCAAATTCTTCTCTTCGTTCATTGTAATCTTGAGAAAATGGTGATAATTCGGGTAATGCTGCTTATTTTTACTGGCATTATTATTTTTCTGCCATTTTTTATTTGATGGATATTTCCTGTCTTTTTCTCACGAGAATTTTTGCCAGAATTTTTTGCAGTTAATGCCGATTAATTACAAATGATTAAAACGATTGCTTTTATATATAATTATTTTTTTAGATTTACATAATCAGATAGCAATTAAATAGATCGAATTGATAAAAGAAGATTTATAGGTGATTAGATCAAATTTGGATATTTTGTGGGTTTAACATTAATAGTGATTTATCAGTTAATTTAGACGGGTTATCCAGGATGGATCATTCAGATTTAATCGCTGAATTAAGCGAAATTGAAAAAATGACACCCGCCGAGCGAATTGCTCTTGCAAGGTTATTTCATTTATTTCTTTTGCTGAATTATATTAATTCTTTTATGAACTTAAATTATATTTTAACTCATTTGAAAAAAAACGATTTTTTAAATTAATTTAATTTTTAAATAAAAAAGGAAGATATAGAGAAAAATGAAACGTTTTATTTGTTATTTGATTTGATTTCAAAATCAAGCAAATAGATTTGCTTTGAATTTTTTTTTTTTTAGAGAACGGAGACGATTGCAGCTGAAAAAATGGGATGATCGTGAAAAACAAATGCCACCTCCTTTACCTCGTCGTCCACGACTTAAATTCAGTGCTGAGGTTGCTTTACTCGAAGCAGCTAGTCGTGATGACGCAGCTGAAGGTGTCATCTATTTTTATATTCGCACTATTCGTCTATAATAAGATCATTTCAATTATTTCTTACAATTTATATTTTTTAACTATTAGTTTGCCTATAAGATTATAAATAAATTTTTCTTATAAGTAAATAAATAAAGTGCCTCTCCCCTCCCCTTCTCTATTACTGTATTATAATAGCGGTTTTTTAGTTGAACGGTTGCTGTTAGAAGGTGCTACACCGAATTCGCATAATGAAGACGGTCTTACACCTTTGCATCAAGTTTTAGTTGTTTCTTATTATATTTTTTTGGCGTACCATAAAATAAATAAATGCTTAGATTATATCATTGCTATATCATTGCTGGAAAAATGAAAGGCAGTATCAGTTATCATAATTTTATTGATTTATTTTGCAGTTTTATTTATTTTCGATTAAGGTATATAAGATTTGTAGAATTAGATTTATAGACTTGTAGAACTCTTTAACTGTTTATTCATTCATTCTGTAAGGTTAGTATAGCCGAAAAAATTGCTAATTCATTTAGAATATTTTTTAATTTTTTATAATAAGTTGCATGAATATATGTCCTTTTCAATTATTTAAATTATTTTTCAGTGTGCCATCGATAATAATGAGCAAATTCTGCAATTACTATTGAGATATGGTGCAGATGTAAATGCTCAAGACACAGAACAGTGGACACCACTGCATGCAGCAGCATGTTGCGCTCATATTGATATTGTGCGGCTGCTTATCGAAAAGTTAGTATTTTTAAATTTTTTAAATTAAATATTTAAATTTTTTTAAAATAAAGAACTGAGCTTCGAATATGAGCTGGAAAATTTTCGGTCCTGGAAAATTATTTAAGAAATTCAATATTTTTTGATCTTGTTAGGCTATTAAATCAATTTTTTACCAAAACCATCCATTTTTCACTTTTCAGTGGTGCAAATTTATTAGCTGTTAATGCGGACGGAAATATGCCTTACGATATATGTGATGATGAAGCAACTTTGGACGTAATAGAAACTGAAATGGCAAATCGAGGAATAACACAAGCATTTATTGGTAAATTTTATCAGGTACTTGTGACTTGTAGAACTCTTTAACTGTTTACTCATTCATTCTGTAAGGTTAGTATAGCCAAAAAAATTGCTGATTCATTTAGAATATTCTATAATTTTTATAATAAGTTATGCGTGAATATATGTCCTTTTCAAATTTTGTTCCGATTTTTAAATGGGAATTTGCTTTTTAATCCGATTATCGTAGATTTATATCGAAAATTACAATAGTGATGAACAATTGATGCAAAAGTTGTTTATGGGAATAGTTTGAGTATTTTGAATTTTAGTTTAACGATGATTAAAGGCTAGTTCCTGAAGTGGTCGAATTTATGCAAGTAAAGAGTCATATAGATTTCGTTAACACATTAATCGACAAGAAATTTTTCTGTTAATATTTTCTTCAAGTTGCAATATGTAATTTTAAGGCTTTTAGATGAACAGCGTGGTGCTGCAGAAAAACAAATGTTAGATGAGATGAAATTGTTAAGGCAGGAAGGTTATCCACTGGATGCCCGTCAACTTGATGGGAGCACATATGTGAGCACTTTTTTACAAATTGGATATATCCAAGATTTCCAGTCGTTTTCTCTATTTTTCTTTTTTTCAAATTTTTAATTTTTATTATTCATGAAATTTATTCCACTGATATCTAAATAATAATTATTTTATTATATTTTTTATTCTTTAGTTGCATATTGCTGCGGCGAACGGCTATTTTGATGTCGCTGCATTTTTATTACGATGTGGTGTATCACCTTCCGTTCGTGATAATGATCTTTGGATGCCCGTACATGCTGCAGCCTGTTGGGCTCAACCCGATTTAATTGAATTATTGTGTGAATATGGCGGAGATATTAACGCCAAAACGAACAATTTGGAGACTCCTTTAGGTTATATTCAATTATCGAAATATAGATATATTGAATATATAGAGATATATCAAATATAGATTGAATGATTGAATCGATCGTTTTATTGATTTTATTAACTTAAATTTTGACAAAATTTTGATATTTTCTTTTTTTGTTTTCAGATTTGTGTGAAGATTCAACAACGCGTGCTATTATTTTAAATATGCAACAACAAGAAGCTCGTAAAAAACGATTAGCATTCGGTGTTCGTGACAGTCGTAGGCAGTCGAGAAAGTACTCTTTATTTTTCTTTTTGAATTTCAAATTGCTTTATTTACGATCTTTTAGAAGGAAAAAGTTTGAATCTCCTCAGCAACCTACGGCTAGTACTGATAATCCATTCTCAGCGAGAGGAGCCATTCGTCGCCTTTCTTTGCGAGATCGATCTGGTATGACTCTTGCCAGACTTGAAGCTCAGAAAGAACAAACTGATATTTTGAGGTCCTGGAGTAAAGAAGATATTTCTCGTACCAAGGTATCTTCACATTATTTTCACAGTAACTTATTAATTAAAGTTCCATTTAATATCTGTCATATTTTTCTCCATTTTTGAATTTAAACTAAAATTTCCTAATAAAAAATTTTTCTAGAAATTATTCATTTTTTATCAAATATTAGATAATTTTCATAAAATTTGTTGGAAAAAATATTATGTACCTTTTTTTCTGTATTTTCATTTCTTTTCTGCATATTCATATTCACTAAAGGAGGATGTAAATTTTACTGGTATGAAATCATGCGGTCATTCGGATACACTCGAAAATATTGGGCAATTCACTAATCATCGACGGGATAATTCTAAGAAGGTTAGAAAGTTTATTTGCGTTGTTGAATTTGGCATTTGGTTTGTAGAAAAATTTTTTAGTCTTATCTTTCAAGGGATTGTTAATGACTGGTTTATGATCGTTGGTCGTTATATAAAATGTGAAATATTGAATGTATCCCCATATTTAAATATTTGTTTTATTCCTGTGATTTTAATTCCATGTTTTTATAGGTTTTAAAATCATCTCAAAAAACGAAGCCGATGTCCCCTGACGAATGGCTTCGCAAATTAGATAGAGAAATCGGGGATAATGATGATGATGATGGTGATAACGATGGACATTTGCAAAGAGGTGGCAAAGGCAGAAGTAGCCAAAAAAAGAAAAAAAGAAAAGGTTATGATTGGATGAAGTTTATCTTAGAAATTTAATCAAGATGTAGAATATAAAGTTAGCTTAATTAGATAAAAGATGCCTGTGAAACTTGAATAGAATTCTGAAAAAATATAGAATTGTTTTATATTGAATTTATTTTAGCTGGCAGTACTTCTAACGAATTTGCTTCTTTACAAAATGGTGGTGATAGTAGTGCGAATGATTTAACATTATCACCACAAAATATGCGACGAAATGTGGATGGTCGTTCAGAAATGCAGAATTTAATGCGACGAGACGACAAAAAAATTTGCTGCTGCGTAATTTGTTAATTTTTTTGGCAATATTTCTATCACTGTGATAATAATTTTCAAAAATTAATTCTTTGGTATTTCTCGAAAAGTTTTCTTTTGTTCATTTTTGTTAGAAAAAAAAAATCAAATTTTAAAATCAAATTAATTAACTGGTAGGATTATTAGGGTGAAATAGATTCATTAAAGACAGAGGTTATGTAATATTTTTTTATAAATGAAAATAATCACTTGTTTATGTTGTCCCAGCAAAATTTTTAGAATATTTTTTGAATTATTTGAAGTTTTCGGGTATAATATATATATATATCTTCCATATTTTATGCATTTTTTAATAGTTTTACATTGTTAAAATGGGAGGAATTCTGGTTAAATTATTATTTCAGAAATTTTATTTTAAAAAATTATCTCGAAAGTGGAAAATGAAAAAATATTTCGATAAAAAATGGAAAAAGTTGGAAAAAAATTTTAAATACATTTGCTATAATTAAATATATTTTGTCAGTTAAATTTCTGTAATTCATCTTTAATTGTTTGTTTAATTTCAAGTTATATCTGTTTTAATTTGTAAGTTATTTGTTTTTGTTAATATTCCAAGTATTTATTTAGTGTGCCTATAAACCGATTTTTAGAGGGATCATGCGCAAAAAAGGAATTCGAAGGAAGTTTTATTTAAACCATGATTTCAATAAATGATGTAAATGATTTATTTTATCATATTTTATCATCCATAATATTTATGAAACGTGAAGAATCGGAATAGTGAAGAATCTTTCATGGAAATTCTTTTTTTTGATGGTTATTGCTAATTGATAATATTTTTTTTTTTAAATCATAACCATATGCGATTTGGATAGAACGAACGAATGGTAAAAAAACCAATCCACTTTAATTTATTCAGTATTTGTGGTACATTTCAGATTTTTTCTGGCAGTGGTAAATTTGAAAGGGAAAAATTCAAAATTTTTTCTTATTTTCGGTAATTTCCTTATTTTTCAAGTGAAATATGTAGATCGTTAAATTCACCAAAATCCAACAAGTGAGATTTTCAGGCGTTTCTTCCATTTTATGCTTTATCGGAATTTAAAGAGGGATTGTGAGGGGATAAATTATCTCCTGAAAAGCGCTTTAAGTAATTGTTTTCTCAGTGTATTCATTTTTAAGGCCATATTCGAGCGAGCTTTCGCCTTGTCTTTTCAAATTGCATGATTTTTTGTAAAAATCGTTTGAGTATTTAGTATTTTAGTATTTAAGTTTTTATGGAAAAATGAAGGAAAGAGAAATTTAAATGAGTTTTCTGTGAATTGGTTATAATTTTCGATAATCGTTTAAAAGTTTTCATGAATTTTGTAGGTTGTGATTTTTTTTTCAGTACTGGAAAGTGTGACTTCATGTTAAAAAAGCCATTTGTATAAAATTACGATAAAAAATATGAATTAACTTTTCGCATTAAGCATTATGCACCTTTATACACACCTTTATACTAATTACGCTATATAAAATATATTATAGGTATATATATGTTGGGAATAGGCTCAGTGGGTTGTTGCTCAATTGGGAGTGCAGATGCTGAGGTCCGATTCTCCGCAGGACAAAATCTGAATATACAAAAATCCGGGTGATGCTGGCGACTCACCTGTATTTCTATCGTCAAGGGAATCCCTGGCATATTGCCTAATGTGACAAGCCAGTGGAGCGAGTTTAACCAGTAATGGTGAGGACTCTTTAAAAAAAAAAAGAAAAAAGAGGTGTATGTGTCTGGTTTTCACACCCGGATCTAACAGTATTCAGCATATCTGGTTTGTCAATCTCCAGTGATCGTCGCTAAACTTTTTCGCCAGAGAATCATTTGTGGTCAGAAGGTGGATCCGCGGAACCATCCGGATTTGATTCTTAATGATAGGTTTAATATTGTTAAGAAATATGACTTGGACCTACAATAATTCAGTAAACGTTACACACCACTTAATTATCGTTCCCACTGCTTTTAATGCTTTAAAGGAGTAAAGTCAATATCGGTTTTTGTAGTTTCTTGCGATTGAGAATTTGATGCTGCTGCTTTAAAAACAAGTTGCTGAACTATCGACAAAAACGGCTGAGCGAGGATTTTACATTTAAAAAGTGCATCCGAGGTTCTGCTGTTCACGTGGTTCTTTTTTTTATGCAACAGATTTCTTTGATAGCCTAATGGAGCTTGCAAGTGGCTTTTTGAATCGATCACCATAATATATAATAGAATTACATTGTAAAAGTGGTTCGGTTTGTTATTGTTGCTGTTTAATATTTTTGGTAATTTAAATGGCAAAATTTACCTTTTTTTGTTTAATTGTCAATTTTGTCAGTTTCGACAGTTGAGGCGAATGCTAAATTAAATTGTTGAGTTTGCAGTTTAGAGTCCAGGATCCTCAGAGAACTGTGAGTAAAGAATGCTCGCCATATTGTAATAAGCTGGAGGATGAAGTGAAGTAATTGCCGTAATTGCCGGTTTGCCAATTCAAATCTGACATTTATTAGTATATTTGTTCCCCAGTTCGGAAAATTTGTTTATTGATCACTAAGATATTGCAAAGATAAGGTATTATATATCAGGAGTGCTTAGTTCAGTTACTTCTCGGGTGCATGGATTTCTTTTTTCTTTCCATAAGATTTTTGTTTAAATTTTTTCCCCATTATTTTGTCAATGGTAATCTGTAATAATTTTATTTTATATATTTTATATGTATAATTTTCTAAGTTAGGGAATACTTTTCGGTTATATGAACAGCTCTTTAGACACTTTGCCTACATCCTTTCTCTATATCGATTTTTTCCTTGTAGTAAGTATCAATGCTATCTACATGAAAATGATTTTAGTTCCACTCATAAATTTTAATAATCCATTTTTGCACTGAAAAATTTCAGCGTTTCAGTAATAAATTCTGCGTTTAAGCCAATGGCTGAAGGCCAAATAATAATTGAAAATTTTGAGGTCATTTGTTCCCCTTTTCATTAATTCTATTGAAATCAACATTTCAGATGAAAAAAGATTTTTAGAAAAAATGAAGAAAGTCGGTATAATTGGTGGTGGTGCAGCTGGTATTTGCGCAGCAAAGAAATGTTTAAACAAAGGATATGAAGTAGCAATATTCGAACAAACGAACAATATTGGTGGTACCTGGTTTTATACTCCTGAAGTCAATGTTCATTCAAGTATGTATGAGGGACTAAGGTAAAGAACTGTTGCCACATTGCACCAATGGATAGGACTTAGGAAAGATGAAGGAAACAATTTAATTTGGAAAAAAGAGTTGTTCAGCTTGCAGTGAACCAAAGAAGGATTTCTTCAATTTTACTTGTTTAATGCGAATGTCGATTACACTATTATTATTGTCCTAAATTATAAAGGATAATATATCCTCATTTTTTCTTCATTTAAGATTTTCAGAACAAATCTTCCCAAAGAAATTATGGCGTTCTCAGATTTGCCATTTCCCGACCATTTACCATCATTTATTTCTCACAAAGATGTTCTTAATTATTTGGCGGTATACTCTAAAGATTTCTTGCATATTTTCAAGGTAAGGTTAAACCTTTTCCTGATTCTTCTTTTCTTCTTTTCATTATTCTGCTTTGGCTGACTGCTAGGGTGAAACTTTTCCTTAGAGAGTTCACGAGGGGAAGAGATGGAAGATATAAATTTTACTGAAATGCCTGAAAACTAACCTAATCAGCTTTTTTCTTGAATCAGTCTCAGCTATTTGTTACAGTTCAGTAGCTAAAATAAAACACATCGAATTCCAATTTTAGCGGTGATCGAAAAGCTAATTGTTTCTTCTTCTTCTTCTAGCAGCTCTCACCATTACTGGTTAGGCTGGCTCCAACGCCTACAAGGATAAGACGCTTCCAAGCGGCGCGGTCTGATTATATCGTCGATAGTAATGGAAGCCATTCCTTTTTCCATCGTCTAAGCCCATATATGGCTGGTCCACCTATACGTCCAAAATCTTTTCTCACCATATCAGTCCAGGTCTTGATTGGCCCACCTCGCTTTTGGCGCCAACCATCACACGATTTAGCAAATTTATTTCTGTGAATTTATTTTTCATTTCTGATTACAATTCATCTTCTTCTTCTTCTTAAATTATGTCTTCTTAAACTTTTAATTTTTTTTTTACCAAACAACGATTAAGATAAAATAAATTAGAATTAAATCAATTAAATCAATCAATTAAATTAAATTATTAACCAAATCATTAAATTGTATAAATAATATATATGTTTTATATATATATATATTTTTTAAATTTAATTGTTTAATTGCCTTTTTATTTTTATTTTTTTTAAAGTTTCATTGTCTATTTCATTCAAATTTAATTTTTTTTTGTCTTTGGCAGGAGTATTATGTCAAAAATCCGGGTGGCTGCTGGGGACTCACCTGTAACTCTATCCCCAAGTGACTCTATGGTGAAAGGGTCAGATACACTTGTTAGTTATTTAGCAAATATTGATAATGAACTATAAATTATTTTAAAAAAAAGAGCTAATTAGGTTAGTTCCGGTTATTTAGGTTATTTTTCGCAAAATACCACAATGGGACCACTTAATTTTAGTTTGGATGTCGTGTAACAAAAATTGAATATTACGATGGTCCCACATGGAGAATTCATTTTTCATCGAATGGTCATGTTGAATATTACGATTGTCATATCGTATTTGTTTGTAATGGTCACTATTCTTTGCCATATATTCCTGATATTCCTGGTCATTTTAATGGTATCATTTCTCATAGCCATAATTATCGCAACCCAAACGTGTATGCCAACTGTAATGTCGCTGTTGTTGGAAATGGAGCATCTGGAACTGATATCGCTTTGGAACTTTCACGTGTAGCGAAAAAGGTATTGGGTACTGGAATTCTTTATTTCTTCTAGCCTTTCTAATCATTGTACGATTCTATCTACATTTTAATTTATTATATTCATTAAAAGATACCTTTAATGAAAATGAAACCCAATTTTAATTAATTAAATGAGTATATTTTTGTTTTTGATATTGTTTTAAATTTTATATAACTTTTATATAACTTATATAACTTAGTTATATAAGTTACTTACTTAATTTTATATAACTTAGTTTTTTATATAACTTTTCTATTTTTCTTGTTTTTTTTATTTTTCTAATTGTGTTTAAAACACTTCTTACTTATCCAGAATAACATTGAGAGAAAATGAAAAAACCATAATTATGGAGCCATATAAGACAATGCGAAATTAAATCGTCTTCATTTTCCATTAAATTTGATTTGTGAAGAATTCCTATCCTCGTAGTCAATGATAATAATGGAAAAAATATAATCTTGATGGATTTTAGGTTTACTTACTTTATTCGGAAGAAAAGATCTCTGCAGGATTACCGTCGAATATCGTTCAATTACCGAAAATAAAAGAATTTCAAGGCAATAAACTCTTACTTATTGATAGTTCATTAATCGAAGTCAATATTGTGTTATTTTGTACTGGTTATCTTTATAATTTTCCATTTCTTAATGGTTTAATTCAACTAAAAAACGACTACACGATGGTTTCTCCGACATTCCTGCATGTCGCGCATGTCAACTTTCCGGATTCATTTTTTTTTATTGGTCTCAATTTTGTTGTAATTCCATTTATTTTATTTGAAAAGCAAGTTGATTTCGCGCTTGCTTCTATTGAAGGCGCTTTATCAGAGACTTCTTTTGATGAAATCAAAAATTGGGAAGAGAATTATCTAAGGTTTTTCTTTAAACTTTTAAATTTAAAATTTGAAATTTATTCTTTTAAAATTATTTACAAAATTCAATTTGATTCCACTTTTTTTTTTATAAACGGCTCAATCAGGAATAATGAAAAAATATATGTGTGATTAATTTCTTATTAATGTTTAAGCTTTTTTGATTAGAGTAGCTCCATTGGGGAACTCAGTGGGTTGTTGCTCAGTTTGGAGCAGCCGAAGCTGCTCTTCGATTCCCCACAGGAGCAAACCTGTTCAAAAATCCGAGTGATGCTGGCAATTCACCTGCACTTCTATCGCCAAGGGACTCCCTGACATATTGTTCAATGCGATAAGCCAATGGAACGAGTTTAACCAGTAATGGTGAGGACTCTTAGGAAAAAGAAGAGTAGCTCCATTGACTGTTAATTCGGTTAGAAACTTTTGCTACTTAGAAGAATGATTTTTATTCGTATTTAATCGTTGGCATACTGTTTACTGTTTTGAATCTCTTGCTCTCTTTATTATTGAATCACCATTTGTTAATATTGATAATTGTCTTATCGCTAACAGGTTGTGTTGAAAGTCGGTTTGGTAAATTTGGATTCTATTTTTGGTTTTGACAATCAAGTAGATTTTGAACGGTGCATTTCGGCATCTAGTAAAAATGCAGTGCAAATATGGTCCGGCCGGATTGAAACTAGCATTAAGAAAGCAAAGAGATTTAAACAATAGGCCGACAAAAAACAAGTTAGCTGGACAAGAATCGCCAAACAACCAATGCAGAATCAATAGTTATAACCATTATCTTTGATGGCGGAATGGACAAAAAAGTCGTGGAGCAACAGCCACAAACAAGGTAAAAGGAAAGCTGCTCGACCTCTATGATGCTTTTTGAACTTCGCCGTTTGGTAACAACAGCATACACAAGTATTTACTAAGATGCTGTTAGGTATAAGAAATACCGTTATCCAGTAAAGAATTTTTATAAGGGTGTTTTTTCAAATTTAGGATTTACTGCAAAAGCCTTGATGAAAAAATTCTCTTTTGGGTCCGAAGAAGCTCTCGCTGCTCCTATTTAATCAAAATTCCCTGCTAGTAGCAGCATGCCTACGTATGTAAAAAAATCAAAGGAGACACTGGTCACTAGTACCACTCCAACTTCTTAATGAGAAGCTTACCCCTGTCAGAGTCAAGGAATCGAACTTATGAAAGTCGATAGATACCGATAAAATTGATAGAAAGCAATCATCTTCTGCCTCTTATTCACTGTCAAATAAATTTTAAATAAATTTTAGCTTAAAATAAATATCGATAAATAAAAGTTCGAGTAAATTTATTGAATGAACTATTTCTCTTCTAACAGCTTTCACCATTACTGGCTCCGCTGGCTCCAAGAGTAAGACATCTCCTAGCCTGGTCCGACGCCATCATTAGTGGTAGAAGTCATTCCTTTTCCATCCTCTAAGTCCATATATCACTGGTTCCCCTATATGTTCAAAATCTGACCGTACCAATCCAGGTCTTAACTGGTCCTCCTTGCTTTTGACGCCAACCATCACAGGGTTTAGCAAATAGCGAAATATGCGTCAACTCCTGTGGTGGACGACGGAGAACGTGTCCTAACCAACGAAGACGATGTTCTGTGATAACATTATTAATGCAGGTGGTATTTGAGCGAAGGTAGATACAATCATGTGCGATTTTATCTGTACCTTAGACATGAGTGGTCAAAGGCTAATAGCCTCTTAATATCTTCCACTCTCATTGGTCATGTTTCGCAGCCATATAGTAAGGCCGAGTGAATTGTAGCTATATGGACATAGATTTTCGTCTTTATGGTGATTTCGCGCCGGTTCCATAAAAGTTCCATCAACCGGAAAAATAATTCTAGCTGCCGTTATCCGGGTTACGATTTCATCCGTTGGCTGGTCATTTGAGATTGGGGTGGATCCAATGTATTTAAAATACACTTCATCAACCGGCAATTAATAAAAATAGGTATATTATCAGTATCAGTATATAAGACGAAAACACTTCCGTTTTATTTACATTGATTTTGATTGATTTTGAGCCCAATTCTCGCTGCAGTTTTTGACACATTGATACATTAACATTATTTGCATTTCCTCATAACCGTCAGCAAAAAGGGTTACATCAGCGTATTCTAGGTCTGTGATTGTATGTTCTGAACTGATTTGCATATCTCTTGAGTGCCGACAAGCGATGCCCATTATCTAGTCTATCGCATAGTTGAATATTGACTCAGCCCTGACGGATACCAGCTTTTATATCGAAGGAGTCTATCAGTTCCCCATATACACAGACTTGCGCCAGAGTACACTGATAAAATGCCTTTATGAGCCGAATGACTTTTTCTGGGACACTGTCACATTCCATCACTTTCCAGAGTGCTGCTCTATCAATTGAATCAAAAGCAGCTGCAAAATCGATAAAGCAAGTGACGGTGGGTTGCTGGTATTTAAGTACTACCCTTCTTGGCGTAAATATCTGGTCAGCATAACCGCGTCCCGGTCTGAATCCAGCTTCGCTAGGACGCATTTTGCTATTTCGTATTGCCATAAGTCTATTTAGCAGAAGGGAAGCGAAAATTTTTCTGGAGACGTCCAGTAGGCTGATTCCTCGGTAATTGTCGCACTACGTCCTATCATCTTTCTTAAGAATAGGAAGCAATATTGCTTTGCTCCAGTCTTCTGGTATTATTTCGTTTTATCATACCAGAGAATACATTTGTTGAAGGTAAGCTATGAACGATGATGGATAACATTTGAAGAGTTCAGTTCGGCCCGAAGACCATCTCCGAGAGTTTTATTAGCCTTAAGCTTATGGATTATGGAGAGTATTTCCTTTTCTGTTGGCGGCTCACAATTTCAAACGTAAGGCTCGACGGGCAAATCAGTTATATTCGGGACAATAGATGGTGCGTCGTGGTTAAGTTTGGCCTCAAAAAATTTTTTCCATCTTCTGAGGCGATTTTTGACATCTTTAATAGAAACCCCATTAATATCCCGTACCATTTCACTGACCTCTTCTCGATTTATAGTTGCTTTGCGGAGAAGGCGAAACAATTTCCTATTATCACCTATCTCAGCCGCCGTCTCCATTCTTAAGGCCATATTGTTCCGATAGCAATTTCTGACTCGCCGTGCTGCTGTCGTTGTAATTCTTCGAAGCATCCGATAGTCAGGATCTCCTGATATTCAGGCTTTGGCAGCGTTTTTCAGACAGTTGGACACTTGCTTCCGACACCCAACTAGCGTATTTCCTACTAGTATACTCTAGTATGGAAGTAGCTAACTTTTATAGACATGTCTTTAGTTGAGACCAGTATTCATTAGCCTTTCCAGAGATGTCATTGACTGATGTGTTCACTGAGGTGTTTCAATAATGCGGTTTGAAATGCGCTTATCGTTCCCGGATCTTTTACGTTTCTTACGACTTGTCAATTTTATACGAATCTTGGCTCGGACCATAACGTGATCTGATCCATGGTGATTACCAGTTTCAGCGCCTCGATAAGAACGACTATCAAGTACAGAACTCTTCCAGCGGCGGCTGACCAATATGTAGTCAATCTGACTGGAATATTAGTTCCACGCGAACAAATGTTTCCTCCAATGCCGGAAGCAAGTATTTATTATTATTATTACTATAGCGCGCGGATTGTATATTCATCGCGTGTACCACCGAGTCAGAAGTAGCATGCGCGCCCGGAGACGCGGACGTCGCCTCTCGTCAAGAAACCTGACCCTTTCACCATAGAGTTACTTAGGGATAAAGATACAGGTGGGTCCCCCAGCAGCCATTCGGAATGAATCATTAATTTTAGAAGAATTTTAATTAATTGGATCAATTTTAAAGAATATTCTAAATGATTCTGAATAATTTTAGGAAACTTAGAGAGAATGGTGAAACTACAAAAAATTTTCATTGTTTAGGCGATCAACAGTGGAAATATTTTGAGGTACTACGGTCTTTTTCTGCGAGTTCAATGTTACCAAATTTTATTCGTGAAATTTATAATGATGTTTCACGACAACGAAGGAAGAATTTGATGAACTATAAAAATATTAATTATCGAATTGAAGGAAATGAATTTTTTGTTAAAGAAGAATAATTAAATGATTTATTTATTTAAATAAATAAATAAATAAATAAGAATAAATAATTTTTCTTATCATAAATTTTTTTTTTTTTGATTACTAATTTATGTAATTTATGTAAGCAATTAGCGCTCATCATTTCTGGCTAGGCTTGCTCCACTGGTTATTGATGGGTAGATAGTACCACTCGGAGAGGTTTTTTAATAGGTCGGGGCCGATTCTATAACTTTTAAAACGATAATCTCAGCCGCTATCCACTCCTCTATTTCACCTCTATTTTAAAAATTTATTACATTCCAATAAGATTCCAAGAAATTTTTATATAATATAAATATAATATAAATTATATATAATTAGAAAAATTAAAAAGTAGTCACAAACAACAAATGTCGATGAAAATAAATCATCTGAAAATCATCTGACCCTGTATGGAAGGTGATGAAAAGATGTGTCCGTCCTGCTTTTCTTCCTTTTCTCCCATATGTTCTTCTCTACACCCTACATTTCCTTACCTCTGAGGCCAAATAACTTAGAAATAAATCTAAATTGGTAGAGATGAACAAAAGACAAATTTTATCCTTTGGCCGAACCCGGGACCTTTAAAAATATTGAAGCTATGTTGTTACAGGAAAAAAAGTGTGATAAAATTTTAGGTGCAAATTTCCAGTCCTCCTGACGTAGTTTTTCTACCAAAGTAATTTTTAATTTGGAAAGCATATGGCATTTTACGTTTTAAGCATAAAATAAAAAGTGATTTGGGCTTGGCCTAACGAATACTGGAGAGCTTTGTGCAATTTAAAAGCGGAAGTATAACCCCCCGATTGGCAGTGATTCTCGTTGAAATTCTTTTACTCTGCAATTTAGTTGGCTAACTAACACTGTCCAGCCAAACATCTTCTCAGCACATTTTTGCAATAATTAAGGAAAATAAAGCAACAAAGGCAAGCATTCAGCTCCCCCCCCCCCCCCCCCCCCCCTCCCTACTGCGTTTTCAGCCTTGCTTGGACCCTACAACCTGCAGGTCCAAGATAAGAGGGCGGCCACGGCCACGGCCACTTAGGGAGTCTAAATTGCGGTCAAATTGCTAACAATCAACTTCGGCCTCTAACTTTTTGGTATTAATTTAATAACCTAATTTTTGATTCATTGTTTTCGTTTCTATTCTTTTTATTTATTTCATTTTCCATGTCTTTAATTTACTTGCAGTTGTTTTCAAGGGTTCGGTTACTTTTTTATTTGTTTGTAAACGAGGATCAAGTAGGATACGTGGCCATTCGCTTGGATAACAATCTACAGCGAGGAAAAGAAAAAACAATGCAGGGGGAGGGTTGTCTGGAAATAATAAGCGGACGTAATGTAGATCTTGACTATGAGCCAGAATTATATTCTTCAGTTTCTTATTTTAAATGCTGTCGATATCACCAATATTTTGTGGAATTTGTCTAATATTTATTTTGATGGTCGCTTGGTTCGTCCGTTGTTCATCCACAAGATGATTCAGTGGGAGATCGCACTCATCAGTAGGCCGCGGTCTTTCTTCCATTAACTTGCGAGTATTATCGTATCAGATCTTCATTGATGCATTTGTTTGGCTCACAGTGAGCTAATCGTTAAAAATTTGCGATTTCGGTTTAAATTTTATAGAATTAGAAGTAGTAAATTGAAGATACTTAAAAAGTGCAATTCGGTCAAACCAATCTGCTGAAATTTTTTGCTCACATATTTACTATTGGAATTGGAATTACCGAGCAATATGGTTCAACCATTCTATAGCCAATTCAAGAAGACACATTATTTGAACGATTTGCGTTTTATTGCTTGTTTTTGGTATTTGAAATGAGCTGACTTTTTAGCCGAAATTAAAGGAAATTTTAAGCGCTTAGTCGCCTTTTAAAATTATTGTTCCGTAGTTTTCAAATTTATGCATAAAATTTTTGCTTTAATATGCAATTGTAAATAAATTAATCGTCAAAATTCCAAAAACTTCAAAATTATCTGTCAAATCATTCGGCTCGTCTTCAAATCTTTCATTTATTTTAGATGGTTAAGCACAGAAAATTGAATGAAATTAAAGCGAAGAATAATAAACGTCAAATCGACAATTTCGATTCGAGCGATGAAGAGGTATATTTCTGCTTCAATTTATTTCTTTATTTGTTGAAAATTTTTGGCTGATGGTAATTGCATTTATTACGCTAATTATATTTCCTGTATTTTACAAATGTATTAGTAAAAAGAAGCTTTTCTTTCCTTTTCAACCTCTGTGGGTGGTCATGATCACCCTCGGTTCCTCCATCAGAAGCCTGGGAAATGAGGTGCACAATACCTTAGCTGTTCTTAGTGCATTCTTCTGGACCTCTGGTGTTCTTCCTGGAATCTGCTGAAACCGCTTTTTTAGTTTAGAGATCAGAATTCCAGATGTTCCATTTATCACCAGGATTATTTTGGCCTTTGCCTTTGATATCTTTTCTAGTTCCTCCTTCACCCTTAATATTTCTCTTACTTTCCATATTTCTTCTTCCTGACGGTCATGTCGCTTGATATCGATCACCAGTGATTTCTTATTTTTGTCTGTTATCACGATATCCGGTTGATTGGTCTGGTCAGAACTTATCTGAATGGAAAGATTGCAAGGTTCTTCCTTATTGTTCTCTACGATTTTCTTTAGAAATCGTCCATTTAGTCTTTGGAGGAGCACATATCGAGTAGATATTCCTGTAGATGATGCCAGTTACTTGGCTATGCTTTTCAGTGTTCATACTTGTGTTTGTCTGTATATGCTTCAGCAGCTGATCCTTTGGGTCATCTTGTTGATATATTTGTGAATCTTCAGGTTTCATTGAAGACAGTGGCTTTCACACTCATCAAACCCCACCCGATTTTTTTCCAATTGTTCTTCCAATTGATCTGATGTTCCAATTGATAAGGTGTTAAATTTGGAGTGTAAATCCTGTGCTTTGTCAGAAGTTTCCTGATCTTCAAATCAACAGTCTTCATCTTCCTTTGTCCATATTACTATGTCAGCTATGTACCTGATGACTGGCAGAGTGTATTTATGGCATGGATTTTATTCTTCCAACTGAACTGGTTCTTCAGAATTCTTTGGTGATACTTAGGTGTTAAAGTCTTCCTTGCCTTCTCATGCTTGCAATGTGACTGTGAGATACCAGGGTGATACCTTGTAGCTAGCCTGTGTATCCGCTATATGTCAGGTGACAGATCCACCTCATTAGTCATTACTACTTTCTCTATTTTTATCGCCATCTGGCCACATTTCTCCAATCCAGATGACATCCCGGTGTCATCGCTATAAATCCAAGTTAGATGGATAAGCGAATTCACTTTTTGCATATAATTTGATGTCATGCATGTAGAGAAGATGGCGAATGGTAGTCCCGCTTTTAAATTTGTAGCTATATTTTCTTCTGGTGATTATCTGACTGTATTTAGATCTACATAGAGAACGAGGGGGCAATGCACAATGCATCGCCTTGGAATATGCCGCACTTGATAGCTATTTGTGCAAGCTATTTCGAGTCGATTTCAGGTGTCGTTTTCCACAATCCCATTGACTTCTCACTGAGCAGTTGACCTTTGAGTTTTGTTTACTTTGTATAGAACCAGACATAGATCCATGTGTGGGGCATCAAATTATAGACTTTCCTATAGTCAGTCCAAGCTATATAGATTGATCTACCCGGATTTTAAGTTTAGAGCGACTGCTTTATCTATGAGCAGATGGTGTTTGGAGCCTCGTATGTTATTCCCAGTACCTTTTTGAACTGCACTCATATACTGGCTCATATGGTCATGAAGCTTGATGTTTATGATGCCTGACAGGATTTTCCACATTGTGGGTGGGTATTAGTCGGTAGTTGGAGATGTTGTTCTTTTATAAGGGTCTTTCATGGTCGATACCGTCCTTTCTTCTGTTAGCCAATTCTGGGTGAGAGCCTGTCACAAGCAACTGGTTCATCTGTGTCGTTATGCGCTCACGAACCACTGTTATCTTTTTAAGCCAGTAGATTTGAATAGTTCAATTCAGGCGCGCTCTAACTTTTCATATTTTTAAGTCGTTGTTGGATGATGTTTAACTAGTTCTTTATCTGGGACTTTTTTTGCATTGGTGTTATGAATTTTCTCCCATGTATTCTTCCAGTACTACTTTTCCAATAGTTTCTGTTGTTGGTGGCAGTTTTGTTACCATATTATTGTATCGAAAAGAACACCTTGGGCGGTTCCTTGGAAAATAGGGCATTTATCTTTTTATACTTTGCTTCTCTAGTAATCCCATTGGCCTAGTGGCCAATGATTTAATAATCTCGAGAGTGTAGCCTTTATACTTTCTCAACATGTTATTTTTATTCTTTATACTTTTCTGTAATTTTTTCAGCTGACTAACTTCTTTGCGTTATGCTCTGATCTTATTTTATATTTTATAGCCTCTTTTTCCATGGGTGAATCGCATTGTTATTCTTCTTATAATATACTCTGGCATTTCGAGAATTATATTGGCTGTGGACCAATTCATTAGTTTCTCTGGCAGTAGTAATTGTGAGGATTTCATTTGCACCTTCGCCCCTTATATTTTCTGGTAATGCATCTGGTGAGATGCACTGAGCCTCAGTAGTCGATGGTCAATTATAGCATTTTATTTATAATTTTCTGCCCCAACAGTACTTGCTTAAAAGTGCTCTATCTGGATGAGGAAATCCCGCAGGATCTTGCTTTGCTCTTCTCCATGATTTTATGGGGATATTTCTCTTTTGATCTTAGAAGGCCATATACTGAACAGGTGTTCCTGTAAATACTGCCAGCTACTTGCTGCTCCTGCTTGTGCTTTACATCTTACTTTCTGCTACTATGGCAGTTGGTATGTGTTGGGCACTTTCTGAAGCATTCTTCCACAATCTGAATTTTATCTGATGTGGTAGATTCCTGTTTCCTGTTTCGGTTGATCTGGTAACTAGTATATGTTCTTATGCTGCTATAATTAATACCTCAGTAATGCCAACTGTCTTTTAGTCCAATTTTTTCCAATTACTAGTAGAATTATTCAATATCAGCCACATCAGCTATCGATCTCCTGTGGAGGATTTTGCTTTTCGATGATATCTTCTCTGGTTTGTGTGTGTTGATGCTTTAGGCATTCTCTTAGCAGTTCATCGTTTAATGCCATCTTGCTGGTGTTTTTTCTTTTTTAAGAGTCCTCACCATTACTGGTTAAACTTGCTCTGCTAGCTTGTCGCACAAGCATGCCAGCGAGTCCCTTGACGATAGAAGTACAGAGTAGCCAGCATCTTGCTGATGTATTCCTGAATGATTCTTCTTTCATTCAAGACTTAATGCTCACCAAGACTCACCATCTTTTCGGCTGGTCTGCAGTTTTTTTATTGTTAGCTTGAGATAGAAATTTCCATGCGTTGTAAAGAGTTTCCTGATCTTCACATCAGCATCATATCTTCTCATCTCACTATGCTAGGTGCATATCTGGTGACTGGTATAAAAGTTTACGGATTTTGTTTTACTCATTGAGCTGATTCTTTTAAATCCATGCCTTCTCTGTCTTTCTTCAATGCTTTCAGTTCATCATTTGGCGACATCCTGGTAATCTATTCCTGAATGCTTCGGATTTCATTCAAGATAGTGGTTTTGATATCCAACAAGTCCATATATATGTATATTTATGTGTACATAAATTTGTACTTATATTTGTACTTATTTTGTTTTATTTATTCATTATTTTTAATCTTTTATATTTTGATTTTACATGTTTTTAGATAGTTCATTGTGCAATATTCTTTGAATTTTCTTCAGATCAGTTATCTTAAAAAATTGCTCGCAAAATTATGTCATTCTTCTGATGATTAAATAGTTAAGAGATTCCGGTTCTAATGTTTTTTAGGACCTTCGGAATACAGTTGGAAATATACCTTTTCACTGGTACGATGATTGTGAGCACTTTGGTTATGACATTGATGGAAATCCTATCAAACGTGTCGAGAAGAAAGATGAGATTGATTCCTTTCTAGAGAAAATGGAAGATCCCGATTATTGGTTTGGTTATTTCATGTTTTTTTATTAATTATTTTTTGCTCATCTTAGCAAACTGTTTAAACGTATTCTGATGGTTTTTCAGCATGAATTTTTTTTGAAATTTTTTTAGGCGTAAGGTTTATGATCGACAAACTGGTTCATATATTGTTTTAACTGATGAACAAGTTGAAAAACTTGTAGCGATTCAACAGTCGCGTTATCCTGTTGTTGGATATAATCCTTACCAGCCATTCCTTGACATCTTTTCATCGAACATTGAAATCCATCCAATATCTAATCAGCCGGCATCGAAAGCTTCCTTTATTCCTTCACGTAGTGAACAATTGTTAGTTGGTTAGCTTTAATTTTACGGAAAAAATTTTTGGCATATTTTATTGCATTGGTGATATTTGTCTATATATTTTTTAAGAATTTTCTTAACATTTTTTACTTTAGAATTTTTTATAAATCAAGTTCACTTGAGAAATTTATTTTCTTTTATTGAAATTCATCCATTTTATTCATTTTCATTCTTGACATTAAGAAAAAGTTTAAAACTGAAAAGTTTGACGAAATTTTTATTTGGATTATTTCCATTAATTCAGGAAGGATGGTACATGCAATTAAGATGGGATGGATAAAGCCTCGGCGGCCAAAAAAAGATGCACCTGAGGTATTAAATAAGGCATTGTATATAAAATGCGAAATTGCTTTGCAAATAAGATGAAAATGGGATGAATAAAACTTTGAAATTTCATTTTTTCTTTTATTTTCAGATGTTTATAATATTTTTTCCTTAAATAATTTTCCAGGTTTACGATTTGTGGGCTAATGAGGTTTCTGACAAAAAGTCTAAAAGTGAAAAAGCGCGCTTACGAATGCATTTCCCCGCTCCTAAGGTGGCATTACCCTTTCATTCAGAAAGTTATAATCCTCCACCTGAATATCTTTTTGATGATGATGAATTAAAAAAATGGGAAGTAAGATATTTTAATTTTTTTTATTTATTTTGCGAATCTTTTTTATTTTAATCGGTGTGGTTCAGTTATCTCATTAGGAATGAAAAAAAAAGTAGTTATAGGAAAATGAACCTGATGAGCGACGAATCAATTACATTCCACAAAAATATAGTTCACTTCGTCTTGTCCCTGCTTATGAGCAGTTTTTCAATGAACGTTATGAAAGATGCCTCGATTTATATTTAGCACCGAGGCAACAAAAAATGAAGGTTATTTGATCTAATGATTGTTTTTTATAAAAATAATGTTAACCAAATAACACTTTTAATTTAATATAGAAATATTTAAATATTTGAACTGATTGATAATATTGATTTAAACAGTGGTTGTGGGCCGGCACTCGCTCGCCATGGCTGATAAAATGATGGCTCTATAACAGTTTCATTAGAATAACCTTGGGGCATAATGATCTTTAAGATTTTGTAGTACAAATCCCAGCTAAAATCTCAGACTTGGGTAAATTTTCGTAGTTTAGTCGATAATTTAATAATTGAGTCAAAAAATCATATTTAAAAAATGTCATTATTGCATTACAAAATAAAAGTGGCAATTCATTACTGTCTACAAAAGAGAGAGCTAATTAGAGAATAATATCTCAATAAAAAATAATCGAATTGAATTGAATTTTAAAATCTTAGAAAATTTTCGGGTAAAAAAGATATTAAAAAATAAATATTTTGAAAGAAGGCATAGATAGGACAGCAAAAAAATATGAGATCTCTAATTAATTAAAAGAGCAAGCAAAAATTTTTAAAAATCGCTGATAAAAATTAGTTAAAACTTCGGCGTCAACTAGTCAATAAACTAGCCAATTTGGCGATATTTCGAGACATTACTGTACAAATATTTTTTATAGCTTAGTGTCGATCCTTCTCAACTTCTTCCAGAATTGCGTAACATCGCTGATTTGCGACCTTTTCCAACCACCCTTGCTTTTGTGAGTTAATTTTTGTCCTTTTTTCAAATTTTGATTTTTTCGTAATAGAAAATGTTTTGATTAAATTTGCAGTATATGCGTGGTCATAAAGGACAAATTCGAGGATTATCAATGGAACCGAAATTTGGAGAATTACTAGCATCTGCAGGCGAGGATGGTACAATTCGTTTATGGTCTGTTGGAGTAGGCCGTTGTCTGAAGGTACCAAAATTAAAATAAATTTATGTTAGAAATTGCAAAACTGCAAAAAACAGAAATTTATCAAGAAGGATTTCGTTCCAATATCGCATTTTATCGCCTAGGTTCACAATATGAATGGAGTGGTGAACTGTGTAGCAATTTATCCATCTGACAAATATACTTTATTGGCCGCTGTTGTTCAGCCATGTAAAGTAGTTATTATGAACTATGAATGTGGTGATAAGCATCATATAGGAATCACATCACAGTTTATTTCTAAACTTGTTATCGATTCACAATCAGAGCAGAATGTAAGGTGGAGTATTGACGATAAAAATAGAATCATATTATCCTTACCTGAGGTAAATTTTATTTTAAAAATCACTTAAAATATTGTTTTAAACTGAAACTATGAATAAAATGTGAAATAATTTTATATTTTATATTTCACTACCGAGTTTGAGGAAACAAAGCAAGTGGTTTGGCATGAAAAATGTGATTATTTTGCCACACATTCGCTTTCGAAATCTGCGAATTCAATTTATATACATCAACTTTCCAAGTGTCTTTCTCAGGTATAAACTAGCCTTTGATATTTTTATTTTATTCCATATTATTTGGCGTTTAAATGATTGTTTTTTTAAATGTTATTTTGCTTTTCTTTGTAAAGTCGTTGATTAATTTTGTTTTTTTTTTTGCTATTTCATAATTCTATTTTGTAATATAATATTTTAATTATTTTTTTTGAATGCAAATTTTTTAAATTTCAATGCAAATACAAATTTTTCTCCATTTATTATTTATTTAGTAATCGCTTATTCGCACAATAATTTTGGTCGTTGTTTCGCTAACAAAAAATTCCAGAAACCGTTCAGTCGTTTGAAAGGATTCGTTACAAGTATATGTTTCCATCCGAAAAAGCCGCATTTTTTCGTTGCTACCAAAAAATATGTACGAATTTATGATTTAGCTGGACATCGGCTAATTAAGAAAATTATCACTGGGACTGATTGGCTTAGTTGTATGCGTATTGATTCTTCTGGTGATAATTTGTTTATTGGTGGTTTGGATCGTCGATTCTCTTGGATCGATTTACAACTTAGTAATAAACCGTGGAAGAATATACGGCATCATACTGCAGCTATTCGCGATATAGCTGCTCATCACAGGTTTTTTCTCAAATCTTTCAAATAGCTAGTGCCATCAGCTATGCTATCTTTACTGGCTATAAGGGTTCGGCATTAAAATCTTATCTAATTTCATTTTTATTTCATTTTTATTTCATGAATATAAACTTTTCATTCTTAAATTTATTTCTATTTATTCTTTACGAGTAATAAAAATTATTGAGTGATTTAGGTACCCTCTGTTGACTACGGTATCAGATGATTCAACTGCGATTGTATATTATGCAAAAATTAGCGTTGATCCTCTTAAAGAGAACGAATTTCTGCCAGTAAGGAAACTGCATGTTCATAATGTGAAAAATAATGGTCTATCAATATTATGTGCTATATTTCATCCAAGTCAACCATGGCTGATTACTGCTGGGGCAGATGGCTTAATAGCACTTTTTTCCAATTGAATTTTTTTCACTGGTTGAACTATTTCAAATAAATAAAAAGAAATGAATGAATAGAATAGATTTTATAGTTTTGAAAAAATAGCACATTATGCAACAAATTTTTTTAAAAAAATAGGTATGATGGATGATTCAAAAGGAATGCGTCTGTATGGCTCCATTTGTAGCTTTTGGACTACGCTGACAAATTTTTGAAAATATGTTAAGATGTTAAAACATTTATCGTTAAATGATTATAAGGCAAAAAAAGATTTCTAATTTTTTATTCTATCGCTGACTAAAATATCTTCAAATTTCAAATAAACGATCTTTCAAAGAATATTTTTGGGAATATCAGGCAGATTAAAAAAGCAACTAAAATGGTAAATTGGGTTTTTTTCCTCTGTACAATAATAAAAATAGTGAAAATAAATATGAATTTAGTTAGAATATTTATGAGCTGATAAAAGCCTTCGAAAGGCATATTGAGCAACAATTATGGCTTGTATGGTAGTAACTATAAACAGAAGGCCAAATATTCCTAATGCCGTCAGTTTTTTGATGCACATTTGACCGGGTAACGTATGAAGACTGATTATCGGCTGCTGAAAAAAATTTTATTACTTGGATTGGAATTATTTTTCACTTAAATCCAAATAAAGAGATTTTGAGATATAGATGAACCAACGATGTGTGGATTCAGATGATGGAAAAAGAAATGGCTTCTATTGCTGCCAGCGATGTATCGGATCGAACAGCATGGAAACATCTTACCTTTGTAGCAAGCAGAGTAAGCCTGACCAGTAATAGTGAGTGCTATTAGAAAAAAAAGAAGCATTAATTCGCATGAACTAAATGGAATATATTTTCTGTGGTGGAAATTTTCTGTTATGGAAAATTCACTTCTTCGAGAAAATCGAATTTTTGAATTCGAGCAAGTGCGACTGACTCAGTCACTGGTTGCATCGGGTCGATAATAATCAGTGAAGTGGTAGCGTGAGCGTGTTTCGGCACCTTGTACCTTGCGGTCTCATCTGAAAGTTTGAATCTCATCTGGCATTTCGAGCGAGTCGTTTTGTAGTGAACACTTTGTTGGAATCATTTTTCGCTATTACATTTAATTAATTTGCAAGCGAAATTCCGACAGAATTTATTGTTTATTTTAGGAAAAATCAAATTTTTGGCTAAAGCAATATAAAATGCCATTTAAATATTATCCAGAATATTAATATTACATGTTGCATTATCAATATCGTTTGTATTTCTTTTTTTTCGTCCCCACGAGGGTTTTTGCACTCCATTAAGGTCACACTGGGCCTGTAAGATTTTATTCTATATGATCTGGTTTCTCTTAGCATTTTCTCGATAAAATAATCTTTATTGTTGTAGAGGAACTATTGCAAAGTCTAGAAATATTCTTTATTCAATCATCGCGAAAAGTGTCAAAACTCAATCTTAAGGAAGTGTTTCGTTTAGCATCTACCATTTTTTTGGCTGGTTGCACTATCTATCTATCGGGAGATCCCATCACCAGAATATTTCTTGGAAATGGGAATACAAATGGCTCCATACGGAAGTGCTCATTGAAAGTTATAAAATTTTGGTGTAATACCAAGTGACCATTATTCATTCAACATATTAAGATTATTCGTATTGCTCAAAATTATCACATTTTCGAACTGCTGAAAAAAAATAAAATTTAAAGGTCTTACTGGTTCACAGGCTCCTAAACATATGTCCAGGTAGCAAGTTATTCTAACTGTACTAGATGAATCGAAGCGAAATGCTTGGAGCTGAGCGATTTTAGTCGATGAAGACACAGTTACTACTGGATCAGGCATAAGTTTTTGTGACACGGCCAGTGTCGGGCAACTGAAATTTTTTTTGAGTACGCTGAGTAGATCGCAAATTTCGAAGTTTATTATTAAATTTTAATAGTTTTTAAATTCTTTCTGAGAATCATTGACGATGCAATATTCGAAAATACTTGATATTTTTTAACTTTTATGGCCGTTTGAAAACTTGGAGCCTTCTCAAAGATAGCACTGTTTTGATGAACAGTATTAGCTTCCAAGGTATAAAATTGCCATACCAAAGCTTGGCTCTCTAAAAGCAAAGCTCAACATCACCTTATAGGTGTACAATAATGCGTGGTGAATGGCATGAAAAGATCCGAAAGAAAAAGACATTTAATATCGTCTATTTTTTCAAATTTTGATTGGTTTGTTTAAGAAAATATAAAAAATTTTTTTATTTTCATTATCAAAAAATATATTTTTCAAATTTTTAACCCTTCAGCGATCAACTGAAGTTTTTCTTCTGATGCACCAAGTGCACCATTTCCAGGCTCAGCATAACAATCGCGCACAAAGAAATCGAGCTCTTCATCCATAGCCATTATTTCCCACCTGAGTTCCAATATATCGCCTAATTTGGCCTAAAATACCTTATTTATAAAATAAAAGCATTTGCGTGATGGCACGATATCAGTACGATTTCAATGGTTAAATTCTGGCTATTATCAATACCTGTAAAATTGGTTGATATTTTCCATCGCCACTCAACATCTGCATAAGTACGGGATTTCCAAGTTCAATCTTTCCTTTAGGTTGTATATTTGAAGCATCGGGGCCACTGAAATTGTTTAATTTCATAGCCATATGCCACACTGTAATCCAGCCATATGCAAAATTATTTCTCTAAAGACATTTTGTTAAAAACCTTTAAGTTCATCCTTAAATTGAAAAAAAGACTTACTTTACCGTAAGATTCGCTCCAGCCAATACTTTACCACCTAACATTGAGCTATAATCACAACTAATTTCGTATATTTGATCCATTGAAGTCACAAGACCAGGTATTCCCAGATTGTTGGTTTGAACAACTACTATTGATTTATAAGTTCCATTTAGCTAAAAATGATCGAAGAATCTTTTTATTTCCATTCTCTTAGGCAATAATTGTTAAATATCGAAGCATAGCTTATTTATGACTACTATATTCTACTAAGTCCTACCATATTCTCTATGCCGCAGTCTCGTGATTGTTCAGCTTGACGTCGAAGACGAAGTTCATTTGGTGATTTTATTGCTTTATCGATAGGTTCCTTCATTAATTCTTTCCCAGAATGATCTACCATCTGAGAACCAAAATCGTGTGGCAATCCAAGTACAAGAGTCGCACTTTCACTATCTGACACTTCTACTCTGCATGTATCATATCTATTTTTCGCGAATATCACTCCCGAGAATGGTTCCTTATTCTTTATCTAAATAAGTTTAATTCGAATTTAATCTGATCAAAACCGAATCTATTATCGAATATTTTAAAAAATTCTTAGTTAAAATAGCCAAAAAAATGGAAGTAAATTAACTCACTTGAACTTTTATTCCTTCGTAATTGCAAATTGTTTGTATTGCTTCTATTCCTATCATTATTGGTGTTGCAATTTTTCCTGATGACGATACACTTAATGAAGCATCCGGTTTTTTAGCCTCCTTCCGAGTTTCTGGAGCTCTTCGTTGTGCTTCTTGCTCACGGAGGAACGGTTTTGCCTGTAAGAAAAATATATATCTGGATGACAGCCCATTTGTACTTCTGTTTTCAAGTGATAATAACTATAATTATAATTGTAATAAGCTATAATAGCATATAATAGCTTGTTCTAAAAAAGCCCAAGCAGACAACGCTGACATCTGCAGAAAAATACATGCGTACATATATATATATATGCATAAAATTAAGGAGTGACGAAATTCTTCATTAAATAACTGTAACCTATTTAATAAACTATTCAAAAGATTCATAATCCAATTTTTATGCCATCGTAACACCAAATGAATTCACCAAAGAAATAAAAAATTAACCTTAATACCAGAGCCAGCGACAAATCCACCTTTGGAATGTGGTTTGGATTCGGTTATTGGCTCACGTTCCTCATTTACTGTGAATAATTGTTTAGGAACATTTATTGCTGCACTAATGCCTGAATCTATTTCTTTGACCAAGCACAAATTTTTATAAAAATCTATGAAATCGTCCTTTTCACCATTTCCATCGATTTGTTGAAATAATTCGCATACACCGTTTCTTCGATTGTAATTTACCCCTTCACATCTACAGTAGTTATTATAAAAGTATAAATATTATCACAAATAAAAACTTTTTGCTAGACTTTTTAGCTAACCGACCTTTCATCAAACTCATAAAGGTATTTTATCCGCATAAATTGTAGCAAGTCCGTGGGGAAGTGACAAATCCTTTGAAATAAGAAGTAGTGAACTGGTGTCCATTAAGGCTATGTCCTTTCCTCTACAGTATTTAACTATGTGATAGACTGAATAATGGACACCGCTTGTCGGCACTCAAGTGGTTATCTTACCTTTCAGCATTCATGCATGCATCCAAGCATTGCCCTAAAGCAATGGTCTTTCTTATTTCCGATGGTTGACTTCTCTGTTTACTATAAAGATATCGAGAGAAAGCTGCTCCATCATCACTAATTGAACACCTTTTTGTTGCTGAAAGATTCCGAATTTAAAAAATCATGCAAAAAGATTAAAAGGTTTTCAACCAATTATTTGTAGTATTGATATAAATTTCAGATGAATGAAAACAGTAGCAAATTGTCAGTTCTCATTTCTAAAATGGTCCTGTATGTACAATTATATAAATATATATATATATTGGACCATATTTTGATATTATTAATACCATGAAGACAGTGAAGGTCATAGAGGTCAATGCCCGTTCGTACTGTTGGTCGAAGCGTTGTTTTGCCATCTACGTACAAAAGATCACATTCTAAGGATCGTTTATCGAAATTGAATGAACGGCATTTCTCAGGTGCTAATTCATAACATCTTTAAAAAACGCGTTATGCATACATCTTGTAGAATTATCAGAAACAGCAGAATTATCAGGGTTTAAATTTTTAAGGAGTTATTCCACTCTTCTTTTTCTTACAGCAGATTTCTAAAAATACTTGTTGGTTTTGTAGAATTTTTATAAAGTTTGTAATGGTTTTCTTCTAGCGACTACCATTTCCAGTTTGGATCGCTCCATTATCTACTAAGGATATTCGTTCGCTAAAGTATGACTTGCGAAAGGTTAGTTCTCAACATTTGTCTCTTTCGTTTAAAAAATGAATAAAAATTTCAGAAATCGAACTTATTAAGGCATTCAGCAATAGAGCTGCCAGTAGTCTGAAGCACATGTATTAAACCATCTCCAACTGGCAACTGTGCATTGAGAGTTCGAATCGACCTTAGTGACGTACTTTGAGGACATGTTTCCCTATCGAGGTGACAAGTAATATCAAAGTAATCGACCTGAATTAGAAAAAATAAGCTTGATAGTTTTAGCCCACATCAGATCTTTTACTACCACTACAAATCCATTCCAGCTTTTTGTTTCGAAGGCGCTTTGAAAGAATTGGAACAGACCTGAAATTCATCGCCTTCTGGAATGAAAAGATCTGGTTTCGACGATCTTGTTTCAGCATTGAGAATGCACTCTTGCTCATTATAATAGTACATTACTGATTTGCAGATGAAATTTTCACCCGTTTCTGGAGGTGGACTGCAAGTTGTATTTGTGTTTTAAATACGCATATATATGTCCTGATCTGCATTTTATTAAAAACAAAAAAATCATTATGATATACTTGATGGGCGACCTCGATGCAATCGTGCAGGAATAAATGGAAGTTGGCAGGTATGAAAGAAGTGCAATAAGATTCGAAGGGATATTTAAGGAAAGCGACTTTTGAAAGGGTGGTGACGCAGTTGAAGGCAGCTATGCTTCACTTAAGATGAGTTTTTTTATTAGTTACAAAATAAATACTTCGTGCACTGATCGAGGCACATGGTTACTGATGGCACATTTTCCATAACGAAGGCAGCAAATCCAACTAAGATCATTTGTGGAATCCGTTCGAATGATGGAACGTTAATACAAGTTCGTGGTGCTATAATTTTTTTAGGAATTATAATAATTTCAATAATTTTTAAGAAACAATGAGCCAACTTCGTCTATAAAATAAGGAAAAGAGCAAATTATGAAATTTTGTAAATTATAAAAGCATTCTCATTAATTCCATGGCCGCAAACTGTTTCTTTCCTCAACGAACAGGGATAAAGGCCTTTATACTTGGACTCATTCGAAACAGTACATGTTGAAAGAGTCTAATAAAAATCAAAGAGTTTAAAGTTTATTAAAGGCGAATCTTAGATCCGCTTTATAAGTCATGATAAAAAAGGACTAACAAGCGAAACATTTTTTCTCATAATAATTGAATCCAACTGCTTTAACCAAATTGGCCCGCCCGAGAGGTTTCGAACGTTCATCCGAAAGTATACACTCATTTGTTTGTGCATTATGCATGAAGGATTTACAATTGAAATCATTTGCCTAAAAATTTAGAATTTCCTAGAAAAGAAAAAACAAATTTGGAAAAAAAGTAAATTTGCCATTTCAGAGTTTCCTGCAGCAGTTTTTTTAAATTTTATTATTGACAAACTTACAGTTGTTGATAAACGTTGCGTGCAGAGAGATTCGCATGATTCCAAATCCGCAATTAGATGGCGATCCAGTTCATTGGCTAATTGTTTTCCGCTTACTGATATATATTGTGTGATGTAAGGTGCATAGCACTGGGCTTAAAAAGTTTTACAGGCTAATCCAAATAACAGTAATTTAATATTAATTTTAATATTAATTAATTTATCAATTATTATTAATTGATTTTAATATTAATATTATAATGCTTGGAATTTCAACGGTTTTTCAAAAAATGAATTTATTTTTTGTCGTGGGAAGTAAGATATGATTTTTGCAAGGCGTATTATTTTATTACAGTGCTTCTCAATTAGTACTCTTATCTTTAAGTGGACTTCTTGGGTTGGTCTCATTCTAATGGCTAATAGAGTCTGACAAACCAGAAATCTCTCTGATAAAAAATTAGGTCAGGCCAATCTTTATATCCCAAAAAATCCTTCCATTGTTAAAAAAATTTGCCAGATATTTGGTAAATATGACGATCATTTATTGGAGACATGTTTTGAGAGTTTTTAACACATTCATTTCTGGTTTACCCGAATGAGAGCAACACAAGAAGTTCATTTAAAAATAAAGGTGCTAATCGCTATTCGCAAATACTGGGATACTGGCTTTTCTCTGCATGCTTTTTGGAGTAAACCTGTCATTAAAAGACCAAGTTTGCGCTTATTTGGTAAAAATTGTTATAGTTAATGGATTGGAGCTAATTTGGCCAGAAATAATAAGATCTAATCACTTTTTGTATTAAAAATGATATCATAAGAAATCAGCCTTTATAAAATAACTTACAACCAGCACAGTTATTATCCATATAGATGACATTATCATCATATTCATCGATAAAGAGGTCAGGTCGGTCGAGCCGATCTTCAGTATTTAAAATGCATTCAGAGTCCACAGGATAATACATTAATGATTCACATTCGAAGCCAAACGCATCAAAGGCATTTAAACACGCCGCCAAACAAATGGATAATGTATCGGCGGATACGACCTATTAATTTAATTAATGTCGAAATATCTTTAAAAAAATTTGTTCGCTTAAATGGGTCATCGAGTTACGATTATCGATTATGTCATTTTTAAAATTTCCTACTTAGTTAATTTTTCGAAATGTATTCGTTTCATACAATGGTGCAATTAACATTTTAATTCTAATTCTGATCATTAATTGAGTGTGTCGTCTATGTCGGTTAAGCTGTTCATTGTAAAAATATATAAATATGCCTACTTTGTGATGGATGGTGGAGGGCTAATCACTTGGTTAGATATAGAGCCAGAGGACGAGAGCATACATGACCCAGCAATCTCTACCCTTCCCGCTGGGTTCTTGGGCAAGATTCTTTGAAAACATACCTCAAGCTCCCCGACCTCTGGTAGCCTCTATTAGAGAAGCAGAGGCTGAGAACCCATAAGCCCACAGGCTTCGAGGAAAGTCGCTAAACGAGCAATCAAATCAGTAATGGTATAAGCTGTTAGAAGAAACTTTATCTAACTATTATAAGATCTTACAATCAGAATCATTCAAGGACTGAAACAGTTAGGGCAGTTTGAAGATAGAGATGGCTAAGGCATGTGGACTCAAATCGCAGAAAAAGGATTGGCTTCTGCTGCTTTCAGGCACAACATTGGGACACCTTGCGCTTGTAACCGTGTAAATGTTAATGCTGCTGTTAGAATATTATGTGCTAATTGTAAACAACAGATAAATTTTTTTTTAGACTTTTTAATCCTCATTTCGGCATTTTTAGTGGGTGATTTGGTAGCTTATTCTAATAATACTGTACAATGAAAATATATGCTTAAATAGCTCAAAAATTTCTTCAGCGAATTAATGAATGTAACATTCTAGCCTCTGCTTCTGAGAATCTGCTTCCTTATAAAAAATTTCCACTGGTTCCGAAATCTTTTTTCTTTTATCTCGAAATTATTTTTATTTTTTTTATATTATTTATATTATTTCATTTTCTATTTTTTGAAAACAATTTGGATATCAAGATATATGCCGTGTCATGTTAACTTAAAACCTATTAATAAAGATAAAAATAAGTGAATTTATTGAATTAAAGCAAACCTCGCGTGCAAATCCTACAAGAATTTTTTGTTCATAGGCATCAAAATGAAATGGCGATGAGCAGATCCTCCCACTCTGAAATTCCGTTTTCAAAGAATAAGAAGCCAATAGCCAAAAATTAAAACTGGTCTAATCGCTTTCTCATGGCAACTTCTCGTATCATGGTAAGAATTAAGGAAATGTAATGTAAAAGTGGCTATAAATCGATTTCAAATACAATGCAACAAAAGTTCCAATTTCGATTTTGGATTTTGCATTTAATTTAATTAAAAGCTCATTAACATTTCTAACCCTAACGCAGTTTTTGGTAAAGATAATTTCTTCCGGTGGAGAATCTTCATTAACGGATGACAACAGCTGGCAAATATTTTGCAAATATCTTACAGCTAAGCATTCCTGCAAAAAAATGAGTAATTTATTGCTCGCTATTTACCACAAAATTCTAATCCCTTTGATAATGAAACGATATTCATAATTATCGTTTTTTTTTATCATTTACATTAAATAAGCAAGATATCATATTATAATCTTAAAAAGAAAGATTATGATATGTTGTGTTGGAATCAACGATCCATACATCGGTAGCCGACCGGTTCATTGGATGGTTCAGTTAAATTTACATTATCTGTAATAATAACATAGAACAAAAAAAGTGCAAACATCAGATTCTGCACAATGATCCATACAATCGACAAGGTTCACCACAGAAAGCCTTTCAATTATTTTACCGCTTGTGACATTGTGTTGCATAAGGAAAACTGGTGATTCTCCTTCACTGCATATTGCATATGATGCTGAATTATATCATTGATAATAACATAGATAGTAATAGGAGTAATAAAGATATAAACTAATAAAAGACGAAATAAAGTGGCCTTAATCATCGAGATAAACTGGTTTAACTAAGGTAAGCCAAAATTCGATAATTCAGAATAATCTAGGTAAAAGACAGAAAACCATAAACTTAAGGCACAAAAATGGGGTCAAAGTCATAATGTCAATAAAGCCAAGAGACCGCAATTGTGGTTCATTTCCATAAATTCAAACTTAAGTGGACAATTCAACCTGCCTTTCTTCCTTTAAAAAAAAATTCTGTTGAATAAATTCGGTATGCTTCATAAACTTCAGCTACATTTTTCTCAAAACATGTTGCCAAGATATCGCAAAAGAAGAAATAGTATAGTATCTAATGAAAAATAATCCAGACAAACCAAGAATGAAAATCATATTTTCAATTTACAAATATCAATGAAGCAAAAATCAAATGAGATTTGGGTAAGATTAATATGAAAGAGCAAAATAATTTATAACGCTATACAAAATTTCCTAAAAGTAAAAATCCTTAAAAACCATATTCCAAGCTCATTTTTGAAATATAAAGGAATATAAAGAATATAATATAAAGAAACCACTTTTTGATTTTTAAGCCCATTATCATTCAAAGCATAAGAAAGGAATCAATTCTCAGATTTGGAAACCATAAAAGTGATTTTAAATTAAAGTTGACAGTATACATACTATAAAGAGCAAAAACATTGAATCAAGATAAAGGATTTTTACTTTTCTGATTTTGTTTATTTAGCCAAAAGGCTGGTTGAATTTTTCAAGAAAAAAAGATTTATCAGTGCATTTATTATATATGCTATCATTTCTCTAATCAGCTACCCTTACACCTTAAATAATTAATATATCTTATCTAATGAATAAAAAATTATGTTCTAAATATCCTTATTCTTCTTCATCTAGCAATATTTACCATTTCCATTTTCGATAACCACTGGCTGTTAGAATGAGCCAGAGAATCGATTGAAGGTGAAAGTGAAGGTGAAGGTGAAGCTGTTCTTCACCTATCAATGACAAATACCGTTGAGCTGGTTGAAGCATTTCATGATTTTTCAAGAATTGGATCATCCAACTACTTAGAGCAGCAGGTAAGGGGATATGTTGCAATATGGTTACAATAAAAATAAGCAGAAGAATCAACCATGACTGCAATTGCCTGAGGACTGGAAAAATTTCATGAACTTAAGCAATCATCCACAAATTAAAGAAATAATGTTGAGCATTAACTTACGGATCGATTGTAGAAAGCTGAAGCGGATATGAATAAGAATGAAGAGGGACAACGTGGAGATATGCATCACCGCCGCAAAGACGAATAATGGTGATCAAATAACCGTTAATGTTATACGAATAGGAGGTCAATGACAGTTTCTTGAGTTGACTCGTACCGTCGTCTTCTTACACCACATTTTTTACAAATGATATTCAGAAATTCGTTCCCGTTATTCATTTCCACTGTGTCATTTTGGCGGACTTAGAATTTCTCAGTCACATCGTGTTTAATTTAATTTGCGCATGTTCGCATGATTTTTTTCTTTCTGATGATTATTACAAGAAATTATTATCATTATGAGATTTTTTATAATGCAATAATTCATCATTAACCTACTGTTATCATTTGCAGCTAAAGGAATCGATTTGGAATCTAGAAATGATATAATTAGAAATGCTGCTACATTTGACTAGTTTAGCAAAATTTCTTTCTTGTGGCCATGTTAGCATGTTTTCAGCTTGCTTTGGTCGTGAAGCTTCAGATTTCCCAAAGTATGGGAATTTATAAAAGTGTTATAAGAACTTTAATAAAACTGCATCGGGAAAAAAATGTGTATGTTTGTGAATTACTTATTGCCCAAATCCATGCGAAATTTTTGCTGTCTAACAAAATAATAAAAAATTCTGATCTTTTATTCAGCTCAACAAGTTTACTATTTCAGATAGTCGTCTTTCTATCATCACTTTTCACAATTTTTTTAGAATTTGTAGGCCAACACCCATTAATTCACGCAGTTACACAAAGTAAATAGCACTTACCAAATGTAAACGTGATATCCGAAATATTTCACGAATTCGCTGGATGGCAGATCGATCTTTTTCTTCGCAATCACACTTGAAATATTAAATTTTCTCTTATTTCATTTAATAAAAAAAAAACGATAGGAAACAAGAACAAATAAATTTTTTCTAAAATTAGACATGGAAAGAAAGAATAATCAACCAAATAAAAATGTTGCGAGAATAAATGATCATTGAACAATTCAAGCTAAAAATTAATTGATAAAGCACAAAATCGTTATCACTGGAAAAAGCACGAAGCTTTTCTCTTAAATATACTCTTTTCTAATAAATATACTCTTGTCGGAGTTGAAGAATAATCTTTGCTTTTCGCTATGATCAGAACCAAACCACTATCTACTCATTACAGAGGATAATCTTTTTTGAGTTTGCGGTATATATTTTTGGCACATTGGTGTTTATAAATTGATTTTTATAAATTTCAAATATAATGGACCTAGATGAAAACTTTCCTGGATAAAATATAAAATATTATATATATTTTTATATTCGAATTCCATAACAACAAGTACAAAATTCATCGTCAATATAATTCAACATTACTTTTAAACCATGTAAAGTTTTGCATCGATGTTGGAACATGTGGGAAAAATTGGTTAAAACTTGAAAATAATTCAAGCAGTTCATCTTACGCTATCTCACTTCTGACCTGGTTATCGCATCAATTTTTCTGTTTTTTATAGAAACTAAAAATGTTCTGAAAATTCGCTGATTTGGTGTACAATTTTCTTAGGCGAAATTCATTCTTAAATTTTTTGATTCAATCCAAACGATTTATTTTAAAAATTATATATATATTTGTGATCGTTCTATCTAATGCATTTAAATTTTATTTTTACGCTTCGTTTTCACCTAATTATTTCACGTTTCGCCACGTTTTTTATTAAATTCAATTTATATCCTCGCTTAAATATTTAAGAGAGAAAAAAGAGGAAAGAAAAAAGGATATAGAAACTTTTTTGTAGAATTTTGCATTTTTTAGGTCTTTTGTTTGTTTTTGTTAGGTTTCAGTAAAAAAATTTTAATTTTATAGATGTTGCTGCTATAACCATTTTTTCTGAAGAACTAATAGCTGATGGACAAGTTTCACCAAACTTTTTTCTTATATATATGCGAATATCCTTTTAGTAAAGCTGAAACCAAGTTAAACTGCAAATAAGACAAAATGTTTCTTGGACCACATGGATTTATTTAAATGTTGTCAATAATAATAGCTAATAATTCATCGCAGGAGTAAGCCTGTCCAAAAATCCGAGTAGCGCACAACTGCCAACTCACCTGCACTTCTATCGCCATAGGATTCCCTGGCATATTTGCCTAATGCGACAGATCACTGGAGTCTAACCAGTAAGATGAGGGCTCTTTAAAAAAAGACGATAATTCGTAATAAATATAATATCACTTAAATATGCTAAATATCGCGTAAAAACGATTCATTGAAAAAAAATTTCTATATCTCTGCTCATATGATAGAGTAAAATTTTATTTCATCATTTTTATTTAGTGGATTTATGGTACCATGAAGCAAACATAAGCGGAATAATCGGTGAACAAAATAATAAAAAAGAAAAATCAGTATTTTTTGAAATCATATTTGTCTATTTTGTAAATTCTGATTTTGCAGATTCTGATTTTTTTTAAAAGAACAATGTAAGAACAATGTATTTTCTTTTTTCCTGATTTTGCACCAGTAATTTAAACCAATAGCTGGAAAAGTTCATTTATGAGAATTTATTTCAGTTCAATTTCCGTTTCTTTATTAAAGCTATGAATAATCGCATAAATAAAACTGAAACTCATCTCAGCAATAATGGAGAAAAACAATTGCTTATAGATAAATTAGCCAAATTAGTTAAAAATAAATTAGTTAAAAATTTATAAATAAAAGTAGCATTTTTAATGGAAGATTTGCTCCCATTGAGAGCACCAGAATATTTGTCAAAACCTGTGTTACCACTACCTACTATGCTCTGCCTTGTGGTCATAATTTAAAAAAGAAACTTATACTTAAAAAATCATTTTTTGCACTACTGAAAAATCCAGATTTTTACTTTTGAGCTAATTTATAATTTAGATTCAAATTTTAATTTACATTTATTTATTCACTTTTTTTTCACTTTCAGGAAACAGTACCTTATGAAATGAAATTAAATGAATTAAATGAAAAATAAATGAAATTTTTGGAGATATTCTAACATAGCTTTCGCATGAAATTTCTTTGAACTTTTTGGGTAAATAAATCAATGGTTGGCTAAGCAAACATTGCTAGCTGTGAAATTTTTATTGAAAAATAAAGTACGGCCATAGCACCACTTGGATTTTTTAATGACAGATTTAGAGATTGGAATTAAACTTGATTCTTAATCATTAATTGGAGCCATTAACCACCCGATTGCCCTGAAATCAATTTCTCGCCTGCTTAAATTCTTATCTTCTAATAGTTCGCGCGATTACTCACTCACTCACTCCACTAATAACTACGATGAGACATCTCTGTCTCTGGTTCTTCCGATCTACCGTTGCTGAAAGTATAGCCAATAAATAAAGCCATTTCTTTTTCCCATATATATATATATATATATATATATATATAATTAGCCTATGCAAAATTTTCCCTTACAGTATTAATACAAATGCCGGGAGAAAGAAAGCATCTCTAGCTGCACCTATCTGAGCTAGAACCACACTTTTTGCCAGGATAGATGTGGGAGTGAATTCGATATTTAAAACTTCTTGGATCGCTGATGAGAATGAAAGAATATTTTATTAACCTTCACCATTTTCCTATATTTATTTGAAAGCCAATTATGTATATAACCATGTAGCATCTCTCCCAGTTTACTGTCAGCAAAAATGATTGCATCATTAGCAATTTCCCTTTATTTAGAAAAATAATTATTTTGCTGACAGTAAACTGGGAGAGATACCATGCTCCAGATTGATTTATACATCTCTTCACCTGCAAGAATATCCATAACTCAGTCTGTCGCATATTTGAAAATTGAAAAAGTGAAAAGGAACCTGAAAAAAAAGGAATGCTGATATATGTTTCAAAAGGTTGTGTCAATTCTTTATAAACACACAGCTGCTTGATGTTCGCCAATAAATTGCGTTGATTATCTTCACAAAGTCTAATTTACCAGAGCACAGCCCTATCAAATGGATCAAAAGCAATGATAAAGTCGATGAAGCACGTAACGGTAGGCTGTCGATAATTGAAACGATGTTCCAATGCTTTTCTTAGCGTGTAAATTTGAGCAGTACTGCAATATCTTGATTTAAATCTGGCTTATTTAGAAAACATCCTGTCATACCTATCATGAATCTATTCAGTAGGAGAAGCAAAAATTTTTACAAAAATATTTGGGAAACTGATCCCTCGATGAATTTTTATCTCTTTTTTTTGGGAATGGAGCAGAATTGCATCGATTTATTTGCCCAAAATAATTG